TGACCGCAGGTGTACGTTATCATGTTATAACACATGACGGGATGTATGAGAAATAGCTATACATAAGATCTTTAGTTAAAACGGTGTAGTAATAGAGCCGGAAGACCTACTCTGAGTCTTGATAGATATGTTTCTTATTGAGAAGTTTAAATTAGATCGAAAAAGGAGTGGGTGGTTTTCATGCCGTTTATATATTCAGTCATATGACAATTTAGAATATCCTAGGACTGGGAATAATAAACCTCTTCGCCTTGGCAGATGGTCATTAGGCCGGGCTGTCTTGTTTCCTTCTCTTCTGACGGGAGCAGCTGGGCGGGGTGAGCAAGGATCGCGGTACTTCACACCCCAAATCAAGGTTTGTCGGTGCATGTTTAATGCTGCTTACAGGCATAAGTGTTCTTTTCGCAATACTGGTAAGAATCTAGGAGTCCCGATTTTGATTCATGCATTCAGTGTGGTCGCACTGAACCAACAACAAACAACATTATGTTGGCACTGAGAAGAGTTTGAGTACAACATACAGTAAGGGTAGACCTCGGGTAGACCTCGCCCATACCCGTTACTTGGCGGGTTTACGTCGATGGTATAGACCGGTAGGTCGGGTCCGAGTCGAGAAATTTTTATTGTCTTTATAGCCTTTAGTGTCCGGTCCGGATATAGTACTACCTCTTTTTAAAAAGCACGTTCCGAATAACCGTACTTTCTACCCTTGGAAGGTTGCCCAGATCCAAGAGTGCCGATTAAGCTTACATAAAGTCGGAACCCTTAGACACCAATCTCAACACCATGATTCCCGAGGTCTAAACGGGACATGTGTAATGGTGCTTTATATATTTAATATCCTAAGATTACAAGTAAAGATCTGTTTGTAAACGTTGTGAATTGTGTGTGGTATTGTTCGCTATTTACATCGTCAAATCATCAAAAGGATTTCCGCCTAGATGGTGTACAAAAATGTATCGTAGAGATTGGTCACTTTAGTTCTTGGCAGCCTCTGTGGTATTGTTAGCACTGTCCTCTTGAATAGGGTTTGTTCAATGGTTTCAGCTTACCCTTGTGGACATCAGCCTTGGTGTTGTGGGAAACCTCGTCCTTCTTGTCGACGAGTGCGTCCTTGGCAGCGCTGGCGCGGGTAGAGACGTTGGCATCGCTGCTCTTGGCGACGTTCTTGTTGGCCTCCTTAGAAGCCTCGGCACCAGTGCCCTGGATGGTCTCAGCGACGTAGTTAACGGCTTGCTGTAGGTGTTGTTAGTTGATGATCCAAGGCAAGTAGTAAGATAGTTAGGTTGGTCACGTACCTTGGCGGTCTCCATTGTGAATTTGAGAGTTGGAAAGTGTGGTTTGTTTGAAAAGGTTGTTTAGAATTGTAGAAGATGAGTTGTTGATGAAGTAGAAATGAGCTGGGGAAGTGAAGGGATATTTATGTAGTTCTGAATCCCCACTGCGCAGGGGCAATGACGTCATGACGTCATGAAAGACCCAGCCCGGAATAGTCCAGTTTCCAAGTGTTTCCAACAAAGTCACATCAAGTTTGGCTAACCAAACCATAAAAATCTTGGAAATTCATGTGGCTGTAACCCCAGTTCTATCCACAGTATACAGTTTCTGACCTGTCCTAGCCCTTCTGACATCACCAATCAATATGTGGACAAGTTTAGATTTACATTTGCACGTAAACATGATTTGCGGCTCTGATAGACGCCAACTTGGAGATTCTATATCCTTCTATAGCTAAAGAGTCGTTAGGATATTCGAATTCCTCAATGTTGTACATACAAACCCTTGGACTAACTGTTAGACCCACCAAAATATGACGTAATTAACCTTTACCCCAATGCTTGGACAGACCTCAATATGTACCTAGGTAGTTGGACCTTGTAAATTCCATGGAACTACGCTTTAGCTGACTTGACGAGGCAAATTGAAGATGTACACTGTCTTTAGTATTCAAGACTTGCTTTTTTTGCTATTGGTTTAACGATAGAAGAAAGACATTTGACATATTCAACAAGTGTTAGCTCCTTGAAAGATCTTGCTACAACATAGGAAGTAAACTCATCACAGAAGCCACATAGATCACAGTGTCTAGATTGTGATTGCGGGGTCGAACATGCACTGTACAGCCACAATCCGATGCAGGTCATACAATAGCCGCAAGCTTGCATGGGCCTATGACGTCGTTTGAAGAATGTGCGCCTTCAAATGCCTCTACACTACGGAGTACTCCGTAGTCTAAACTACCTTGGAAACACCTCCCTGAGTTAAGAGTCATCGGTATCTGAATCCGTCAATGAGAATTAAATATGAAACTCCGATCATTAGGTAATCTTTTTATCCACCTGGGCATTGTATGAGGTTCAGGATATCATTGGCCTAAACACTTCAATGATTCAGATCCACCTATAGGTCTGGTCGCCACTGAACCCACAATCTTTGATTGTTTGTTCCAAGATAGGAATTCGATTATCATAGTTGATCTTCAGGGAAGTCATGAGATATTGCCAGAAAATCGAGGGCGTATTGGCATCAAGGGTGAGGCCCCGGAGCCGTAGGACAAAACGTATGGGTAGTTCGTGCTTTCGCCAGGTAGTAGATTCATTGGAGTTATGTCGTATTTCATTTGTTGCTCTTAACCAATGTTCATGATGAAATAGGGGTTATAAGGAATAGAACTTCCAAGACGGCTTGTGCTCACGCGATAACGGTTGATCTTGCATCAAGGCTCGCGCCAACTCTATTGGCATACAATTCCCCTTCAAAAATCGATCATGGAACTCCTTCTCACCAAGATTTCCCGTCTCGACAGTCTCCTTTCGCAATGCATATATCTGTAACGCCCCCAGCATATACCCGGCTTGATATAACGGCGAATAATCGCCATTCAATGAACGTCTCACTTCTCCTTCTGCAGTGGCACGTTCATGTCCAACTTCATTGACGAGTAGATCAATGCATTCCTGAGGAGCCATCTGACCAAGATGAAACTTGATAGAGAATATAATCCGAGCGCATCGATGAAGCCGCCAAAACAACATGCCGATCCGATTCTGTGGCGTCTTTTGGAACCGTTCGTCATTCCACAAAAGGAACTCCCAATACAGAGCCCATCCTTCAATCCAAAACGGAGTATCAAATAATTGGCGGTAGGGTCTATGTCTTGCAATCATGTGCATCTGCAAATGATGTCCCGGTATCATCTCATGGAAGACCGTAGCGCGGGAGAAATGGATGTTGTTCCCGCGCATGCTCATCAGCTTGGCTTCATGGTCCATCTGATCGGTTGGATATGAGACAATGATACAGTCGCCTCCGAGGAAGAAAGGGTTGACTTTCTGATGCTCGGGCGACATCATAAACATCTGCCAATTCTCCTTGGCAACGGGTGGAACAGTGACGAGTTGGTGATCTTCGACAAAGGAGATTGCTTCCATCGTGAGATCTCGGACTAATTCGATTTGTTTTCCAGGCTCGACGAATTCGTTCTTGACTTCTTCCAGGGCCTGCTTCCAGTTGTCCTCGTATCCCATGCTGCGTGATGACTTTTTCAGTTCACCAACACACCATTTGAACTCATTCTCGCCGATCGAGATTAGTTCTTCGGGTGTGTAGGCAATCATTTCGCCCAGGAGCTCACTAAGCAATCCCTCTCGACCGATAGGATCGCCTACTATCGCATCCTCATTGCCTGGGCGGATGCCAGCTAAGTTCTCTCGGATACTTGCTGAAACATCTTTCAGGCCCTTTTCCACAATCCCATATGGATGTGACACCCACCAGTTAAACGACGGATCGTAGCCTTGGTAGAATTCAAACCATTCTTTCAAGTTGGTGTGCAATGAGTCTATGTTTCTCGCTGCTCTAAACGCAATTGTTTTCTCCATCCGGATCTTGGTCGAGTCGTTCTTGACCATGTCTATCACGGCTGCGATTTGAGACTGTGATTCAACAAGCTTCTGGGCAGCATGTTGCGAATTCATTGACACTACCATAGCACGAGCCTCGCACAGCTGCAGCAAGTTGTCTGAAAATGGTAGAAGCAGTGCGGTCTTTGCATCCTGTTTACAGTCGAGTTCCAACTCGCGGAGCTGCCTTTCTAGATAGTTTCTCACGAGAAGATAATCGACCTTCCCTTGTTGATCATATAGATCAAAGGGCTGACCGTGGAGTGACTCGAGCTCAGATGTAAGGAATTCGCGTAACTTTTGTGTTCTTCGAGGAGATATCTTGATCGGGTAAAACGTCTTAATATCTTTGAGGTCCTCTGTGATACGCTCAATTCTGTCGCGCATTGTGCCGGCTTGAGCACGCTGTATGGCGATGCCCCTGGGTGACGTGACAGATACCATGACAGGCAGAAAGTTATCGATTTGGGAAATAGATAATTTTGCGTTTATTTTATTGTTTCCTTTGAAATCTCGGAAACAGGAAATCGGACAAGACGTGGAGAAGAAGCTATTTACTGACTCCAGATTCTAAAAAAGAAGATAGGCTAAAGTAGAACCTAGATTAAAATAGGTAGGTCCTACCACAATTTACTACGTCGGCTGGCGCATCCGACATTATACCGATCGCTAGTTGATCCGAATGGTGGGTTTTTGTTCATATCGCATCAATTAACTTAGCTTATAAAGTCGCGTGGCCTTTCTCCGCGTTTATACCTAAAGCAGGTACATTGTTATCTCAATGGAGATTTCCATTATATCCGAAGGTCGTTATAATGATATTTCATAGGTTGTAGTCCAAACGTGTTAGAAGTCAGAACGCGGGGAAATGAATCAAGGGCTGAACTTGTAGTCAAGTTAAGATAAGGATAATTTTCATTTTTTGTACGGCCTTTTACTTTGATAGATAATCTGCTCTAATTTCTCTGTATTTCTCCCGAGGTCGTATATCATATAAGTCTTGGATACCCATCTCTCCCCTGTCATGTATAGGAGCCTTCAATACTAAGTTGATTGATCAAATCCTAATTGGGTTACCTGTTACCCTATATTTGCAGAATGGGTCCGCATCTGCCTGTCACGGAGGGTATTGACCCAAGTCAGCATGACAAGTCAGCAACCGATACGATTCAAGAATTACAGAAAGTCCAACTTGCCCACCAGTGGGATCCAAATTTACCGCAGGAGAAGATCGATGCTATTAACGAGGTAATCAAGACAGGTGATCAGGAAAAGGCTATCGAGATAGAGAAGACTCTTGCCCAGGATTCCCAGTATGATTTGGTTCGTGCTGCAGTGCGCAACACAGATGGTGGAGAGATAGCAAACACCGTGCGTGCCTGGATACTGGGCATGCTTTTCACTACTCTCGGAAGTGGACTCAATATGTTTTTGAGTATGAGGTGGGCTTTGATTCCGATCTAGCCTTTGAGTGGGAAATGCTTTACTCATCTTGTATTAGGAGTCCTGCCATCTCATTCCCTGCTATCGTCGTGCAGTTGCTGGTCTATCCGTTGGGTTGTTTGTGGGCCAAGACAATGCCGACTCGGAAGTTCAATACATTCGGAGCGGAATGGACGTTTAACCCTGGTCCATTCACCATCAAAGAGCATGCGGTTATTACAGTAAGTTGTTGAGGGTTGATGGAAATTATAAAAACTGACCTTTTGTTTTCAGATCATGGCAAAGTTAGTGGAGTTTAATCACAAGCTTTGATATCAATGCTAAGCAATATATAGCGTGTCGATCGGATATGCTTATTGTACAGATGCCCTCTTGGCACTGAAAGCAAAGCGTAAGGAATATCTCTTGCCCTAAATCTTGGTCTAACACATACTTTCAGCCCTCTATAATATGGAACTTGGATGGGGATTCCAGCTTTTATTCGCTTTGAGCAGTCAGGTGGTTGGGATGTCACTGGCAGGCATTTTCCGCCGTTTCCTTGTCTGGTAAGTTGGACCCTCTCTGCCAAGATTTCCACAATACTCACGATGTCAAGGCCCGCTGCCTTGATGTGGCCTGGTCAGTTTGCAAACACTTCCTTGTTTTATGCTCTTCACGACTGGAGCGCCTCAGATGAATCAGAGACTCATGGATGGAGCATCTCACGCTACCGATATTTCCTATATGTGACAATTGGGGCTTTTGTTTGGTATTGGTAAGGCTCTCTTGTTCTAATCCGAACTACATATGCTAATTTCTTCGAACTGCAGGGTACCGGGAGTTCTATGGCAAGGACTATCTGTTTTTGCTTTTGTCACCTGTAAGGTCCCGTTGACTTGTTTCATTCCTGGCTGCGCTGACCTTTTTGCCTGTAGGGATCCGACCCAACAATGTGGTTTTGAACCAGTTGTTTGGAGGCTTTACAGGACTCTCCCTCATCCCTATCACCTTTGATTGGACGTAAGATCTATAGTCCCCATCAATTGCAGAACTGCTGAAAGAAGGTAGAGCTAATGATAACCAGCTACGTTTCTGCATATCTCCAAGATCCACTCTTGGCACCTATCCACGCTATTGTCAATACTCTGATCGGGCTTATAATTTTTGTGATCATCACCACAATCGGGATCTCTTACTCTGGGGCTTTGTATGCTGCAATATCTCCCCCGAATCATTTCAAGGCTGACGGCAATATAGGTACTCCGACTATCTCCCTATCAATACAGCCAGCACCTTTGACAACACTCAGAATGCCTATAATGTAACAAGAATCCTAGGCGCTGGTTTCTCTTTTGATGACGCAAAGTACAAGGCATACTCACCGATGTTCCTGGCTCCAACCTTTGCCTTGAACTATGGACTGTCGTTTGCGGCCCTTACAGCAGCTATTGTACATGTCATTCTCTTCCACCGCAAGGAGATTTGGCATCAATTCAAGGCTGCTCGGGACCAGGAACCCGATATTCATCTTACCATGATGAAGAAATACAAAGAAGCACCTGACTGGTGGTATGCAGCACTATTCCTATTCTCGATCGCGACAGGGCTCGCAGGCATTCTGGCGTATGATTCGCAACTTCCGTGTATGTGATGCCTATCTGAATCTGATGATCAAATCTGACCAAATATATAGGGTGGGGCTTTTTTGTCTCAATCATCCTTGCCGTGGTCTTTATTGTATGTTATTTCATGACCGCTGGGAGCTTATCTCTGACTCAAACGACAGATTCCGACTTGTCTGATTCTCGGCGTCACTAACATTATGCTTTGTACGTGCGGTCTCGGCCCTTTTGTATATGTGCAATGCTAATTTATAAAGCGCTCAATGTTTTGTCGCCGTTTTTGGCAGGTTTCATGATTCCAGGAAAGCCAATTGGGGTCATGGTATTCAAAGTCTTTAGCACCATCACCTTGGGACAAGCGTAAGTTTCCATCGTCTTTCTCGAGAATGAAGGCTAACCTTATCTATAGTCAAGTATACTGTGCGGATCTCAAAGTAAGGAACTTTCTCTCCATGTCAGTGGACCAGATTGCTGACTCTTCCACAGCTGGCTCATTATATGAAAGTGCCACCCCGCGTCACCTTCATGTGTCAAGTCGTTGCCACATTATGGGCAAGTATTGTTCAAATTGCAGTTATGAATTGGACTCTGGGCAATATTGATGAAGTTTGCACGCCGTAAGTTATGACAATCTTTGGAAAGAGGGCATATATTAACCATCTATGGGAATAGTAATCAATCAGCACATTTCACGTGCCCGAACGGAAGGTCCTTCTTTTCATCCAGCATTGTGTGGGGTCAGTTGCTTTGTCTCAAGTACACATCAACTTATTACTGACTATTATTTAGGTGTCATTGGCCCCCAACGCATGTTTGGACCCGGCGGCTTGTACGTGCAAATACAATGGTTCTGGCTGCTCGGCGCTCTTCTCCCGGTGGCGTTCTATGTCTTGATAAGATTGTTCCCTCGGACTAAGCTCAGATTCCTAAATGCACCTGTGTAAGTCACAGAAGACCATCTCTGATGGAATATGCTAATAGTATCAATAGGATGCTGGGTGCTATGGCCTGGTTGCCTCCGTAAGTCTACATTCTTGTTGTTATTCATTACCTGTACTGATCATTTTACAGGGCCACTCCACTAAGTTTCTTTTCATGGGCTATCTTTGGCCTCATCTTCAACTACTGGATTCGACGCCGGTGGGCGGGTTGGTGGCATACCTACAACTATATCACCGCCGCAGGACTTGACTCGGGCCTCATTCTATCCACGATTGTGATTTTCTTCGCGATTACTTTGCCGAATGTCCCGATACCCAAGTGGTGGGGAAATGCAGCTGTCTTTGAGACCACGGTACGTAACTCCATATGGAGTATATCCCGTCAATTAGTGAAGTGGGTCCTAATGAGGAATATAGGATGCTCTTTATACTGCAGTTCGAAAGACTGTCGCTGAAGGAGAGACTTTTGGACCTAAGGAGTGGTGATTGTCTCATGGAGAATACATATATCAATGTAGATTTATATTGAGATACATGTGCAAATGGGCAAATGGACATGACCTCGGGATATTTATAGTTCCTTGGCCCACGTGATCTGGTATTTCCCCAGGGTTGTAGCCAGGTGGTGACGTGGTCATATAATATATACATGTCAAAATAGTCCCTGAAAAGACATATAGAAACAAAACTCCCCATTAAAAAGAAATTCTAAAAAGAAAAGGGGGAGGTGAAACCCAGCCTCAAACAGAATTTGGGTATCAACTCGAAAGCTTTCAAGGCCCGCCCCTAGACGATCTCCGCATCCCAACCTCCCTCTTACTCTTACCACCCCTCCATCTTCCTTTTAGTATCTTTCATTTTCCCACGGGATTTGTTTCATCCCGTGAGACAGTCCTCGCATCGACTGTGCTTGGGCCCGCTGCGGCTTCCCTCTCTCCCCCGCTTCCTTTTAACTCGAAATCCCTCAAAGAGGAACCATCCACGATGTCACTACCGACTAATACGCCGACTGTGGTCCGCAGCCAGTCAACTTCAACTCGTCCTTCTCGAGCCCCATCGGATCTCCCTCATCGAACACGGAGTGTGGCGGTTCGATCGTCAAATACGGCCCAACCTCCTACGCCAACTAACTTGTCACATTCGAAAACTCCTTCCCAGGACCGACGTCCTCCATCAAACCATACTGCACTTGAGGAGGCAGCTCGGCGCGACTTCGAGACATCCAATGTCGCGCGCATGCCTTCTCGTCGGGAAGCGTCATCTGAGCGATCTCAAGAACGCCCCTCGACCGCTCGAACTGAAACGGCCCGAAGGCACCAAAGAAACCCCTCAACGCAAAGCCGGCAGCGAGACAGTGTTGATATGACACCGAGCTCGGCTCCACAACTGCAGCCACAGCATGCGACCGCAACAAGTGTTCCCCCAGCCGCAGCCGCGCCTCGGCGACGGACTACGATCACGACGCCGACGGGCCAGTGGGCTTTAGGCAAAACAATAGGTGCTGGAAGCATGGGAAAAGTAAAACTAGCGAAAAATACAGAGACTGGGGAACAGGTATGAAGTTTCAACTCTTGTCTCAAATTATTAACACAATACTGACTACGGTCGCAGGTTGCCGTTAAAATCGTGCCACGACTCTCGACTGAGGAACATCGCACCAGCCGGGAGACAGAGAGAGCCGATCGCTCAAAAGAGATTCGCACGGCTCGAGAAGCCGCCATCGTCAGCTTGGTGAACCATCCGTACATCTGCGGCATGCGGGACGTCGTTCGAACATCGTACCATTGGTACATGCTGTTTGAATATGTCAACGGTGGCCAAATGCTGGATTATATTATCTCCCACGGCAAACTGAAGGAAAAGCAGGCGCGCAAGTTCGCACGACAGATCGCCAGCGCATTGGACTACTGCCACCGCAACAGCATTGTCCATCGCGATCTGAAGATTGAGAACATCCTTATCAGCAAGACCGGTGATATCAAAATCATCGATTTTGGTCTCAGCAACTTGTTCTCGCCAAGAGGCATTTTGAAGACGTTTTGTGGTAGTTTGTATTTCGCTGCTCCGGAGTTGCTTCAGGCCAGACCTTATACGGGACCCGAAGTTGACGTTTGGAGCTTTGGAATTGTCCTTTATGTCTTGGTTTGTGGAAAGGTACCTTTCGATGATCAGAGTATGCCTCAGCTCCATGCCAAAATCAAGAAAGGTGTCGTGGAGTACCCACCAGGTCTCACTGCTGGTAAGTCAACCTCGAAACGAAGTTTTTCTGGTTCCATTGCTAATGACCCTTCGCAGAGTGCCGCCACATCATATCCCGCATGCTGGTCACTGACCCCAAGCAGCGTGCCAGCTTGGCCGAGATCATGAGCCATCCCTGGATGAACAAGGGGTTTAGCGCTCCTCCAGAGAACCACCTTCCCCATCGTGAGCCTTTGCAGCTACCTCTGGATCCAGAGGTCGTTGAAAAGATGACTGGGTTCGACTTTGGGCCTCCAGAGTACATTACAGCTCAGTTGACCAAAACATTGGAGTCTGAGGATTACCAAAATGCTATCCGGCTGCACTTCCGTGAGCAACAACAGCCTGCTTCCAATCACCCGGAGCGCAAACGAGGAGTGTTCGATTTCTACAAACGACGAAACTCTGCAGCCAGTCGTGATACCCTTTCCGCGCCTTCGGCGGAGGCGGTGCAACTAGGCAACGACCCTTTGAATGCCTACAGTCCGTTGGTGTCCACATATCATCTAGTCAAAGAAAAGATTGACCGAGAGCGGTCCGAAGCACGGCCTGGTGCCCTTGGTCTTCGTCAAACCCCCAGCGAGGTTCAAGTGCCTGAACTGCGGGCCCCGGAAGCCGCCCACACCAATCAGTACCAGTTGGCAGGAGACAAGGACACAGGACGGCGATCTCGCCCACGGGCCCGCACCCATGGCGAGGACGAAGCCTCAGAAGGAATGAAGATAATCCATTCTTCCTCGCCATCTACGCACGCAGTCCCAACCTCGCATCCCGACACACCCGCCAAGAAAGAAAGCACTGCTGCTGGACTCTTGAGACGATTCAGCACTCGTAGGACGAAAGATCGCAACCGCGATGCGGATCGCGAACACATTAGTACCCCCAACACACCCACACTCAGTGTTCAACCTCCTGCAGATTCAGCGTCTCCGATGCACCGTGGCTTCAGTGTACGGAGAACCCGACGGGCCGAGCCTTCTCCAGGTGGGACATCTTCGAGTGACAGCCGACCACAGCAGGATCTGCTGGCGGCGCCAACAACCGCGGAACGCAGTGCGCGGTCCAACAAATTCCTGGAGAGATCGGCCAGTGTCAATTCGGCAGACTACCGACCTCGAAGATCCACACGGAGAAGTGACGAAGATACCTTGGATGTCGCTCCAGACCGTCAACCGCCCTCTACTAGTGACTCTGATCAAGTTGCTCCGAATAATCAGAAAGATCCGGCTAGCGTGAAGACTGGTGGACGCACACATACGGCACGCACCATGTCGCTGGGACACGCCCGGCGGGAAAGTATCCAGGCCCGTCGCGCCCGGCGAGACGCTACCCGAGAGGCCAATGTGCCCGAAGAGACCGATGCAGACATCTCCGGCGCAGGGACAGCATTGGAGAGCGCCAACGAGGGAGAAGATCTCTCTAAGCCAGTGTTCCTCAAGGGTCTTTTCAGTGTTTCCACCACCAGCAGCAAACCTCTGCCCGTTATTCGGGCTGACATTATTCGGGTCTTGAGGCAGCTCGCAGTTGAGTACGTCGAGATCAAGGGTGGATTTAGCTGCCGCCACGCCCCCAGCATCGACCTCGACAAGGTAGTTGATGTTGCCCCTCCCAGCCCAGAGCGACAGGGGCAAGTATCCGGGCACCGCCGTCGCATCAGCTTTGGCGGCCTCCTCAACCACGACGACAGCCGAGACGACAGCCGCGCTGGGCCCTCCAAGCTTCGTCGAGCTCAAGCTGCGCCGGATCGCAGTTTTACCACGAACTCGGATGGCTCAGATGAATATGTTGCACGGGATCACGGTTCGATCGGCGAACGCGTCGTTGGCGAAACCACTACCCGTGTACAGAGCGACACCGGAGAGAACCTTGTCCTCCGATTCGAAATCCTAATCGTGAAGGTCCCTCTGTTCTCCCTACATGGTATTCAGTTCAAGAAGGTATCAGGTGGAATGTGGCAGTATCGAGAGATGGCGAAGAAGATCCTCGACGCATTGAAACTGTGACCTGTCCTTTTGAAATAGAATCCTCGACCAAAGAGTGCATTTCATAAGACCTCTTTTCCCCTGTCTACATGACATACAGTTGGCGATTTGTTTTGAGTTACATCCATTCACGACGCATCCGCACGAGCATTCATCAATTTTACCCCGTTATCATTGCATGTCCATCGCTATCTTTGCTTTCCTCCTATTTTTTTTCATAGAGGGGTTCATTTATCTTCATTAGCCCGTTATTTGCTCTTCTCATCCCGACCCTAAGTACTGCTCGCCTATCTCAATACCTATTGACCTAGCTAGAATTTCTGGTCTTCGTGGTGTATATTAAAATCGACTGAAGATATTTTTGGTTGCTAGCGTTTTTGCTTTAGCTTTTGTTTTGCCCTTGTCGTCTGTTCACTATGGCCTAGGTGGTGTACCGTTCTTTGGACAGTTATGAACTTTATGTTGTCCGGCCTACAAATACAAAATGGTTGCGGCAATCTTCTGTAGGATTTCATGTTCGTAAACCGATGTGTACTGCCCAGATAAGTTCAATTGTTCAACCAAGTAGGCTAGCTTCCTCCCTTTCTGCACAATCCATATAGTTCATATAGCCCTTCACCTATCCATGTGTGGCTTGCTGATAATTCTTTGAACCTGAGCTTTATCTTACCCTTACCCTTAGCCTTGGGGATTGTCCAGCCCCAAAACCCTGGCTAACGTTAGATTGAACGTGGGATCTAGAGCCAGTGGGGCCAACCAACACATACTTGAGAATCCCACTAGACTCATCCCTAAGATTCTACTAAGGGTATGAGAGCTAGCTCATAGCACCTTATATTGCAGTGTAGGGGGTGGAAATCAAATCCGGGCATGGTGTCTACAGTTTCTAGGGTGCATATCCCTATCCGTAGACAGCAAGTCTATGTATGGTATGTATGGAATCAAAAAGAATTACAAAAAGAAATTATAGAAAACTCGAATACTATGCATAAATTTCGATATAGTAGTTCCTTGACAATACTCATGAACCCGTGGGACTAAACACCTGGTAGCACCAAGCCCTAAACCCGATGTTGTGGCATCGGGGCCCAGGGTCTGGGGTCCAGAGCAGTTATGCTGCTGTGTAACCCCCGCCCAAAGCCGCACCCTGCCCAGTTTAGAGGTCCGACTGCGCCCGGGCGCCCGCATCAAATTCGCCAGTTGGCGGAAGGAAGGCGAATTTCGCCGAGCAATTAAAATCAGCCAAATTTCTTAGTATCTACTAAATAACCATATTAAATGGAGTATAAGCCACAAATAAAGATTCTGTATCAAGAAAGTTCACTATTATCTATCACCTTGGAGGATAAAAAGAACTTGTTTGTGTTAGGTGCCCGGGAGGTAGTTCCCTGCGCCCCCAACTCAGGCTTCACCACCACCGAAAGGCGGCCTTGCTTAGGCTTATGGATGGCCTAGAGCCGGATGCCTCTAAGCTGGGCGGATGCGCCGGAACCTCTTCTTAGGTAGGAATGGGACTTAGAACTTAGGCGACGAGACTTAGGAAATGTGTAGATGTGTGGTTACTAAGAGGTTAATAGGAGAGCCCTGGAGGCCCCGGTGACTACGTGATCCGATATACTTTGCTTTTTCCACACGCAAAGCCAGCAAATTTTTACATAATACGATATATCTATAATATCTAATAAAGGATTCTAGATGATTATACTATTAATTCTTTATAAAATAGGCGAGCTCCGATGCTGAGTCATCAAATCGTAGGGCGTTGATTGGAGGAAGTGAGGTACGCTACGGCCCGTATGGTTCGAAATTGATGCCAAGACTTTATAACAGCCATTACCCTCACTGGTTTAAAGCCTTCTACACGTCGATCCCCATGTCTGATCTGGTTGATAAATATACCAATCGATAGTGGACGCTCGGCTCTATATTGTGAGGCTTTTTTTATGCGTTTTAGAGCTCGTTTTGCGTCTGTAGATTATGAAGTGGTTGGAAGCCGATTAACTACCCATAACTGTCGCGGGCGCTGTTCCCGCACTTCACAACAACCCCTTTTTAATTGCCAGCCAGCGGCCACTAACTGGAATACCCCTATCAGCCCAGAACACAGCAAACTCGAAATAAAAAGACAAAATTAATTTAATTCGATAGTGGAAACCGTACATATCATAGAAATATAAAGATAGGCATGTTTTTCTATGAATTGAGGCCACAATGAAGGCTAACGCCATGGCGATCATTGCCTATTAAGGTAAGAGTCTAATTAAGATGCTGAGTCAGCACCTGTCATGCGCCCCGCCACGATCTTCCCGTCCTCATTTCCTCAACATCACTTCATCACCACTTCCAATCCTCAATCTTTCACCACGTCTCCCGTCCGCCGCGAACGTCGCATGCTCTTCTAGTCTCTTTTAGTTTTACCGGCGCGTCTTGGAGATACTGTTTCTTCTTTTTTATCATCTCGGGACATTTATTTGCTCATATCCCTCTATCCTCGCCTCTTAGGCTAGACTCTTCGACTCGTCGATACTTCGAGTATTTCAAGAGACTTCTCATCTTTCAATCTCCTCGCCGTGCATCTCTACTATCCTAAAAGGTATGTAATATTGAGATTCGACGCGCTTTTGTACGCGTCCTGAAGCCTGTCACCCCCTAACACCTACGCGCTTAAGATGGCGGGACGCGTCCCCCTTGGCTCGGGGGCTAATCAAAACCGAGTGTTCATTGATTTAACGGATGAGACTGAACCAAACGATTCAGAGGAGGTACGTTCTTATGCCTGTTCACCTCGAAGACTTAAGCCCACACTTCCCCTGGGCCTGTGCCCCACACTTTCTTTGTCTCGATTCGATTTTTTTCTTTCACCCCCAGCCAACTGTTCACTTGACTATCTGGCAATCCTATCCCACACAAGCAACCCGTGGACTGTTTATCTGATTACTAAATATCACTTTTAGCCAAAGAAATTGGTTCAGGGCAAGCTTCCATTTCTGGCAGCTTTGGCCTATCGGTCACCAACGGTGCCACTGAAAAGGAAAAGCTTGGAAATATCTGAGGATGTCTCCGATTCGTCAAGTGATGCTCACAGTGCACAGCGTCCGCGCCTCTCACATGCACACCCTGACCTATCTACACCTAGTCCCGCGCCAAGTCTAAGGCCTTCTCAGATTAGCGTTGTCATCCCATCGCCGACGTCAAAGCAAAAGCGTGATATTGCAATTGCGCAATGCATCTCCAATGTGAATGGACTGGATGCTAACATCTTTCCTACAACCGACGAAGAGGAAAGAGTCAATCGAGCCACATATCCTACTACTAAGGCTCGAGTTGACCGTCGTGCTGTGCCATTATCATTCGCCTCCACCTCCATTCTCAACTTGCCATCACCTACAAACACAAACCACCTTGCAAAGCTCCGTCACACTCTCGACGAGAAGCTAAAGCGTATCACCGGGCCTACGGTCATTCCGACTGTTGATTCCCCAAAGCGTCTTGCTAAACTAGCTGATAACTTTGAGTTCGTCAACAGTTATCAGTACCGTGAGGGCGTTGAACGGATTCCCGATGAGTCTGATTTCAATATCGGATGTGCATGCACTGCTGCTGACGGCTGCGACCGCTTCACATGTGATTGCTTGAGTAAGGAAGAAGATTCCGAGGATCGGATCGTGCCTTACGAGATCTGTGAGACCAATCATAAGTTGATCGTCGCAACTAAGAGCTTCCTCAAGCGCAAGGCGATAATATACGAATGCAACTCCCGTTGTGGCTGCGGTGGGAAAAGATGCTGGAACCATGTGGTTCAAAAAGGGAGGGTTGTCAGACTGGAAATCTTTGATACTGGGCCCCGTGGCTTCGGTTTGTCTCACTCACTTTAACCCTCTTTTCTTACCTATGTATACTAATCTGATATGATCTTTACTAGGCCTTCGATCCCCCGACTTGATTCACCGGGGCCAATTCATCGACCTCTACCTCGGTGAGGTGATTACTAAAGCTGAAGCCGATGAGCGTGAAAACCTGACCGATGGTTCGCATACTCAATCCTATCTTTTCTCCTTGGATTGGTATGTTAAGGATGACGATGATGAAGAACAAAACATGAAAGTCATCGACGGTCGCAAATTCGGTTCTGCGACTCGCTTTATGAATCACTCTTGCAATCCTAACTGCAAGATCGTCCCTGTCTGCACCACCAACCATGCCGATGAGTACCTCTATAACCTCGCCTTCTTTGCTTACCGGGATATTCTCCCTGGCACCGAACTAACGTTCGATTATAACCAGGGTGAGGAGAACAACACTCCTCAGAAGATCGACCCTGAGGCCGTACAGTGCCTGTGCGGTGAAGCAAAGTGCCGTGGACAACTATGGCCGAATAAGCGTAAGGGCCAGGGATCGAAGCCCTAATAGGCTCTTCTTTGTCCTAATCCCGCTTTTGTGGCGATCCGTCCTGCCAACCGGTCAATCTCTGCCAACCGGCCAATATCCTCACATCTTTGTTCTTTGCGATTTCTCATATCCCCCAACATCTGTGATGATTAGCGACTTAGTTTTTTTTTTTTTTACACAGTCATGACCATAACTGTTATGGGGCCGTCGTACTTCGTACGAAGCCCTATGGAAGATGCTTGCTTATGCTGCGCGGAATCTGCCAAACGTTACCGCCTTCGACGGAATATGTACACATTTGTTAGCTCAGGAGAACTCCTCTCCTCAACGAAACCTTCTTGTTCTTAAAACCCGTCTAAGTTGCACAACTAGGCTAGTTCCGTAACATTAGGTTTCGTTCGTCACCTTTATCGACGCTTAGTAAGGAGTTCCTACTAGTACAGAGTGAGAGACAAGATGTCTTACCAACCACGACGACATAATACCTTTGATCACGACAACCTACCAGACGCACTACCGGCACAACAAGCGATGGGAGAGATCTTCCCCCCACCACGAGAGAACGATAGGATAGAAAGGGGGCCGACCCGGCCAACTTACCCCGATGTACGAACCTACAATGGACAGGACCCTAAGGAGTACGCAGCCTTTCGTACGAACTTGAAAATCAAGTTCTTGATGGATGCCCACTACTTTCACTCCGAGGAAATGAAGACCTACTACGCGTTTAGTAGGCTAGAAGGCATTGCGAGCCAGCAAGCCCACGCATGGATCGTAGCAATGGAGAATGAGAAGAAACCCCTCCTTCTCAATGAATTTTACCAAGCCATGGATCTCTACTTTGAAGACCCAGACAAGGAACAACGTGCCCTCGTACGAGTAAATTCGATGAAGCAGGGTAGGAGGAGTCTCCACGACTTCCTATCTGAGTTCGACCAGACACTAGTTACCGCGGGTGGATTACACTGGTCCGATGCCCAGAAGATGGCCCTTCTCCGGACCGCAATCAACGTCGATCTACTCCAGAGTACCGTCGGAGCTGAATTCGCTTCGTACGATGACTACCGGAACCGCCTTCTTCGGATCGACCACGACCTTCGGCAGATTGAAACGCTCCAGAAGAAGAAGTTAAGACCCTTCTTCCGTGGCAATCTCAGCAACACCCAAGACGACGCCGGCAGGATGGACTGGGAACCTACTCAAGCAACTAGGATCGCCGCCCTAGAAGCCGAGATCGCGGCCCTAAAGACAAACCAAAGGAGCAGTCCTTCTCGTACGAACGAACGGGCAAAATGGGTCTCCCGGGAAGAGATTGACCAACGCCGAATGAAGGGGGAATGCCTACGCTGCGGACAGAGAGGGCACCTGATTGCGGGCTGTAGACTACGGCCTGCCACCCGACCTCTAGAGGTGAACGCTGTCGATGCAGATGGAGACAACGACTCGGGAAAAGAATAACCTTCGTACGAAATCGTGTACGGAGGTCGCTAGATACTTCAAAATTGAAACATTCTGTTTGGGAAGAATTTGAAGCCACGCGTATGAACTCCCCACCGTTTGTCATTGCCGCGACCCTAGACCGACAAGCTATGGCCCGTACCTTAGTCGATAGCGGATGCCTATCGTACGGAGCTATCAGTGAAGCCTTTGCGAAAGAAAGGAACTTAGAGACTTTCGAGATCCTACCACGAACATTAAGAGGAATAGGAGGAAAGGGGACGATTTCACAAATCGTACGAACCTCCCTCTCAATTGACCACCACTTTGAGAAAGAGACCTACTTCTATATGATCCCTGATTCCATCGGATACGACCTGATTCTTGGCCTACCCTGGCTGAGACAACAGAACGCTTGCTTCGAACCTTTAAGGAACCGGTTATATCTTCGATCATCGAAAACCCGCCTCTATGGGATCGGCAAAACTCCTCTCCCCGATACTACAGAGATCTCGGCACTCTCAATGCATAGAGAGATTCAGTCAGCAATAAAAGACCATAATTCGTACGATTCCCAAATCTTTGCTGTCTCTATGGCCGATATCGAGAAAGCATTGAAAACCAAGAAACCAAAGGACCTAAAGGTGGAACTCCCCACTGAGTACCACGAATTCCTCCCTTTATTTGACCCCGACGAAGCGACTAAACTCCCACCACACCGCGGGGAAGGAATCGACCATAAAATCGAACTTATACGAGAAAATGGTAAAGAACCAATAGTCCCCTGGGGGCCCCTCTACAATATGTCGAACGAAGAACTTCTAGTGCTACGAAAGACCCTAAATGAGCTCTTGGATAAGAACTTCATTAGGGTTAGCAAATCCTCAGCAGCAGCACCAGTGCTATTCGTACGAAAGCCAGGAGGAGGGCTCCGTTTCTGCGTCGACTACCGAGCGCTAAACGCTCTCACAAAAAAGGACCGCTACCCCCTTCCCCTGATTCATGAGACGCTGAACCAGATCGGACGAGCGAGATGGTTCACGAAACTCGACGTATCAGCCGCGTTCCATAAGATCCGGATTGCCGAAGGAGAAGAATGGAAAACCGCGTTTCGTACGAGGTACGGACTTTACGAATGGCTTGTTACCCCCTTTGGCCTGGCCAACGCGCCGAGCTCATTCCAGAAATATATCAACTGGTCCCTACGAGAATACCTAGACGATTTCTGCTCCGCCTACCTCGACGATGTATTGATCTATTCGGAAGGGAACATCGAAGATCATCGAAAACACGTAAAGAAGGTCCTCCAGAAGCTACAGGAAGCTGGCCTACACTTGGATATTGGGAAGTGCGAATTCGAATGCACCGAAACCAAGTACCTTGGCTTTATCGTACGAGCAGGAGAAGGGGTTAAGATGGACGCTGAAAAAGTGCAAGCGATACTCGACTGGGAAACACCAACCACAGTCCGAGGCGTGAGGGGATTCCTCGGCTTTGCCAACTTCTACCGACAATTCATCCCAAACTATTCAGAAGTCGTACGACCTCTTACCCAACTCACGCAAAACAACGTCCCCTTTGTCTGGTCTACTATATGCGAGAAGAGCTTCCAGGAGCTAAAACGACTCTTCACAACAGAGCCGATACTAGCAGCCTTTGACCCATCTCGTACGACAGTGGTAGAGTCCGACTCGTCAGGATACACGGTTGGAGGAGTCCTCTCACAGTACGATGATAAGGGTGTGCTACGACCATGCGCCTACTTCTCCAAGAAAAACGCTCCCGCCGAGTGTAACTATGAGATCTACGATAAGGAGCTGCTCGCTGTCGTACGATGCCTAGAAGCATGGGACGCAGAACTACGTTCAGTCCAAGGGAAATTCCTCGTTATCACCGACCATAAGAACCTAGAATACTTCTTCAAACCAAGGAAGCTCACTGAACGGCATATGCGGTGGTCACTCTTCTTAAGTAGGTTCAACTTCGACTTCCAATATCGCCCCGGTACAGACAACGCCCGAGCGGACGCCCTATCACGACGAGACCAAGACAACCCAACCGAGGAAGACCCAAGAATCGCAGATCGTACGAAGTGTCTCCTAACGCAGATAGGAGACGATAAGGCTACTGTGAATATCCATGCCACGACCGCACAGCAAACCCCTGACGAACAAGACTGGGAGCTAGCGAGAGATGGGGATGACGAGTACCAGGGCGCTATACGGACACTACAACAGGGCCTACGGAAGTTCCCACCAGAACTAAAGCTAAAAGTCTCAACTTCCGAATGCACAATCGACCAAGCCCAGAAACTTCGCTTCCGCGGAAGGTTATGGGTCCCTAACTCTGAGCCCCTTCGTACGAAAATCATTCAGACCGCACACGACTCTCGACTCACCGGACACCCAGGGAGGGAGGAGACCTATACAGTGGTTAGCCGCGAGTACTTCTGGCCGAATATGTCGATCGACATCCGGAGATTCGTACGGAACTGTGACCTATGTAACGGGGCGAAACCATGGCGAGAGCTGAAGCGAGGCCTCCTAAAGCCGCTCCCGGTGCCAGAACAACCATGGCGAGACGTGGCCCTCGACTTCATCACCGATTTACCACCAAGCGACAGCCGTACGAACATCTTGGTAATCACAGATCGGCTGACAAAGGGAGTGATCCTAAGGCCGATGAAGTCAATTTCGGCCGAAGACTCCGCATGGGCAATCATTGACAGCCTCGTACGACAACACGGATTCCCAAACTCGATCGTCTCGGACCGAGGAACCCAATTCACAAGCCTCCTATGGGAACGGATCTGCCAGCTATGTAAGGTTATACGACGGCTGTCGACGGCCTACCACCCCGAGACCGATGGACAGACCGAACGACACAATAGCACGTTAGAAGTGTACCTACGCCTCTTCGTACGATTTGAACAGAACGACTGGAAACGCCTACTCCCAATGGCCGAACTTGCGTTAAATGGACGAGTCTCCGCAGCAACCGGCGTAAGCCCTTTCTTCCTAACCCACGGTTATAACCTCTCTCCATTTGACCCACCAATCGAGGAACCGCGTATAAACAGCACCATTACCACGCCAGAACCAAGCCCAATCCAAAAAGCAGAAACGATCGTACGAAAGCTAGCTGGAGCTATGGACTGGGCACGTGCATCGATAGCCTACGCCAACCAACAGATGGAAGCAAACGCTAACCGGCACCGACAACCGGCGCCTACCTTCCAAGTCGGAGACGCTGTTTGGTTAAACCTGAAAAATATACAGACCGAACGACCCTGCAAGAAGCTCGACTGGAAGAACGCAAAATATAGGGTTCAGGAAGTTATTGGTTCCCACGCAGTACGACTGGATACGCCACCCGGCATTCACCCAGTATTCCATGTTAACCTCGTACGACTCGCGACACAAGACCCCCTTCCGTCCCAACTGGCACACGAACCGCAACCACCAGCAATCATAGTCGACGACCAAGAAGAGTGGGAGATCGAAGAAATTATAGATGAGACACAAACACGCAGGAGGAACAACGCTCGTACGAGCTACAAGGTTAAGTGGAGAGGCTACACGAGACCAACCACAGAGCCAGCGGACGCACTCAAGGACACAATAGCGTTAGACGTGTGGCTACAGAAGACCGCACCGTTTAGAAAGATCGATGGGTCCCTTGATAAGGCTAGCTACTACGCTTCGTGCTAGTGCTAACTGAGTCTAGAAACCTCGATATTGTGTGTTGATTGCGTCTATGAAAAGTGCTAAGCCTCGTACGGTCTAGTCAATGAGCTCCTCTACAACAGAGGGCGGAGGGAGAGGGCCAGCTCCACACTTCCCGCTGCACTGGAGTGAAGCACAGCATTCGAAGGGCTTCGTTTCCCGCAGCAGTCAGACGGACCTTGACATACTGCTTCCCTCCGTGCTCAATGCGAGTCAGGGGCAGGAGCATACGCCGGGAGGAGGGTTCGACTTGACGCGGGTCGTACGACAGAAGATTGAAGTTAGACGACTCCATGGTTGACAGGAGGTTTGGAGACTGCGAATAAAAAAAAAAAAAAAAAGAAGAAGAAGAAGGGAATTGAGGACCTATTTATGCCTTCCAACTACAGCCCACATACTACAAAGCAACGACGTCGTCGAACACGTTTGCCCTATTCGGCCAATCATAGGCCACGATTTTGTTTGCTTCTCCCATTGATTCCTAATCTGGCGTCTATTGAAGCAAACAGTCATTGTCCTAGGGGAGGGGGGGTATTGTTATGGGGCCGTCGTACTTCGTACGAAGCCCTATGGAAGATGCTTGCTTATGCTGCGCGGAATCTGCCAAACGTTACCGCCTTCGACGGAATATGTACACATTTGTTAGCTCAGGAGAACTCCTCTCCTCAACGAAACCTTCTTGTTCTTAAAACCCGTCTAAGTTGCACAACTAGGCTAGTTCCGTAACAATAACGCAAGTGCATAAAGCATCAGCCATCCCCTCTTTCAGACATCTTTACTGGCGCCCTGATTTCTTTCATCTCTGGTATCTTTGTTTGCTTTTGCCATATTTTAGATTCACAATACCCTGATCCTGATGAGATTTCTGTATGATTAGCAACAAACAACAAATCAAGCTTAATTTCAAATTATCGTCGAATTATCGTCGAATTATCCTCGGTTTACTTGGCTTAGCCCTGGTGGTATCTTTCTGTAATAGGGGCCAAACATGGTTGACAATAGATGAGAACAATGGCAATGGTAGGGTAGGATCTTCAGGTAGGGGCTATGGAAAATATAGCCGGATATGCCTCGATAGAGCGGCGTTGACTATGACTACCATTACACTTTTAATTCATTGTCAGCTGACAGACAACCTGCTATCTAGAGTATATGATCCCAGAGTGTGGAGAACCATGATATATATACCACTGCAACTAAGTCAATTCATGGAATCGACTTAGTTATGACCTTTTGGTCTAATGGGTAAATGCTTCGAGTAGTGGCCTGGCGTATCTCACTCCTACCCTCTCTTATATCCTAACTCATATCCTAACTCATATCCTAACTCATATCCTAACTCATATCCTAACTCATATCCTAACTTATATCCTAACTCATATCCTAACTCATATCCTAACTCATATCCTAACTCATATCCTAACTCATATCCTAACTCATATCCTAACTCATATCCTAACTCATATTTCTACCTAAAGCACCTAGTTGATTTAATCCGTGTATAAAAATGTTTAAATAGGCTTTTATATAGGCTGAGTAATAATGCCCCGAAACCTTGGAACCGTGTCATAATTTATAAGCGATGCACCCAGCCCCGGGGATGTAGGGCTTGTTCCAAGGTTACATATAGTCCGTGCAACAACGCAACCACGACTTTTCTCTTATATCAAATGAGTTAGCAACAATCATAGGGCGCAAATAGCCATGGAACTATTTATATTGGCATTGATTTAGTTGTTCTCTATGGTCATTCTTCAAGCTTGACAACCAATATCACTCCTCATTACCTACCTAGGTAGGCAGTTCCCACGCCGTGAATAAGCCCTATAGTGCCACGGCCATACATATATACAAGGCTACTCGGCTGTATACCCGATAAGGCTACTTTGCTAGTGCATATACGGAGTGGACTAGAACAGAAATAAATATGGGTGAAATATGTATAAATAGATATATATATATACCGTGGGGGCAGGATGGTCTCACCATCCGAGGGTACTCAGATCACTAGTAGTATAAAAGCGCGTAGGGCTTGACATACCAGAACTTCGGACTGTTTATCATAATAGATTATCAGGAGGAGCCGAAAACTATATATGCGTAATTATATATTTCAGCTAGAGAGGCGCGTGTGTGTTTGCCCGGAGGAGCTTATGCCTCTCGTCATCAGACTAACGTCCTGCCCATTGGGATTGCCTGAGCTTAACATTATTAAGATAAATATACTCCTGTCGACGGGTAGATAGATATATTCTGCAAATAAAACCGAGTGGCCTTTTCGCGTTTTTGTAGTGCTCGCTGAGCTTGCATTGCTAATCAATCAGAACCCTTAAAATACAAATGTCCGAGCAAACGATGCTACCAAAATAAACAATATTCTAGGGCTACCTAGTTATACCTAGGACTAGATGTCCTATGCGAACCTTACCTTATTGAGGTGGTGGCAGAACAAGACCAATACAGGGCAAGCAAGCCTGGGCCATAAACGATATCAAACAAGTTTAAGCACAAAACAACCTTGAAACATCGGGTATTAATTTGGGCAGCTATATCCACAGCAAGGACTCAAATGTAACCAAAAAAAAGTACAATCTTGACATATTTCCAACATCCAACCACTATACAATATTCCCTATCTCACATTCTTTTCCGAAAGCAGAAAAATCCAATACCACACCTGCAAGAGAAACAAGGCAATTAAAACCAAATAGAGTATCGCAGCTTAAGCCGAGTAAAAAGAAAAGAACAAAAAAAAAAAACCCCGAAGAGAAAGAGTAGTCAAGTGTCAAGTGACTCAAGTCTAATCCCGCCCCTCCATAACCTCAAAGATACCACCCATCACAAAGTTAGGCTTCACCTCTCCCACCCCCAAATCCACCGGCCGCGGCTCCATCAGCCCCAACCCCTGCCTCTCAATGGAATCCCCATCACATCGCGACCGCTCCTCGCTCAACGCCATATCGGTCTTGGATGGTCGTTGGCGGAGGACCATCGATGAGCGGCCGCGTAGGACAGCGCAGGGGGGCACGGTGATGCCGTTGGCGTTGTCTGAGACTTGGCGCGGGCGGGATTGATTTCCGGGGTTACTGGTGTGTCTAACACTGGATTGCCGTCGGAATGTGTGGGTTTTGGAGGGGTGGAAGGATAGGTTGAAGAGGTGGTGTGGAGAGGTATGAGGTGAGTGGGTGGATGTTGGGGAGGAGGGTGGTGAGGTTGTTGTTGAACTTGGGCTTGTGTCGGTGCCTGATTTGGGGCTTTGGCTTCTGGTGCGGAAGGATGTTTTCAAAGAGAGAAATGGTGAGGTGATATGGTTCATGGTTGCGTGTTGGTTTTGGTGTTGGTTTTGGTGTTGGTAAATGGAATGTGAGGCTTTTGCTGAGGACTATGTCATAGTAGATTGAGAGATGAGGATTGAAGTTATAGGAGTTTAGAGAATTTCCTTGGGGATTAGTTGAGTTTATTAATCCTATAACGGGTTGACTGCAAGGACTGTGCTGCAGGGAGAGTTAAGACACTTGAACGCGGGCGACGCATGCGGATGAATGTAATTGTCCCTGCAAACGGATACACAATGCCTTTGACACTTTCGAGTTCTCTTTTTTTTTTGCCGGTTTCAGATTATAGCGTTAAAGATATGTGTAGTTATCTACATAGACATTTAAGTATTCATGTTCATATATAGGTCTCATCTGCCAATTTCCTCTTTCGGCATCCAATAACTAGTTCGACCCACTTAATTCATGCAGTCATCTATAGTTTAATTGATATATTTTGATGTATAGTCAATAATCGTGTATTCTATGGAAATGGAACCCCCATGCTCCCTGCTATGCAAAATGCTCCGCTAAAGAGAGTAGTATACACAAGCCAGAAACCCGGGATGGGAAAACAAAAATGAAACCCTCTAGAAGGGAATGCTAAAGAATGAAAAAAGGATGAAAATCAAAACCGTCCTACTATCCACTTCGTAATAACATCAAACTTCACATAGATATGCACAGCATTTTATTCAGATGTGCGATCACCTGATCGTCGCTGCGTGAAGCTTCGCCGGATACTCTCACCCCAGGCGGAGTTATCTAGCGAATGCATAACATCCTGTACATTCATACTATTGTTCGGACGCGGGGTATCGGGAACCGAAAGCGCCTCGGGCGTTTCGCCAGTATCGAACGAAGTGCGATCCCCATACATGTGACGCGGGGTGATTGAGGGACTGATACTCGACCACTCCCTCGTAGGTGTACTGGAGCCAGATGCTGACCCGCTCAAATTGGTATTGATTCGAGGTAGAGCATTGCGGTGTGCGGTTGGGCTGGACTCAGCTCGTCGGTGGTGCGAGACCGGTGAGAGCATAGGGGGAAGTTTCCATCAAAGTCTGGTTGTGTCTGGGGTGTGATCGCACCGGAACCTGGCTCGTCGTACTCCTCGGGGTCGTCGACTGGATCGTCGACAAAGATCTCCGGCACAGTGAATGTTGGAACCGCGCTCATCCGGCCGTGCTTCTTGCGGTCAATCTTGCGGCGGAATTCGCGTGACCAGTAGAGGGTATCAAAGAAACCGACGACGGTGTTTCGACGGACAGCCTCATCCACCCGCTGCAGCCGTGCTCGACGACGTAGGAATTCTTCAAGGCGCAGACTCTTGCTATCGCTAATCACATTGTGATGTGCGAGGATCATCAAGCACTGGTGGAAGGAGATGCCACGATCGGGGTCTGCTGACACAAGGATTTCTTCGTAGAAGGTGTTTAATCGTTTGCGCCGCTCTCGAATGCTTTGGACTGGAATCCGCGATATGATCCGAGAGAGCTCTTCGATATCCACACCAAACGAGACACGAGAGTTTCGCCGCATTGAGTGTGGTGGCTCAGCCAGCGAGACCATTGAATTTCTTGCGTAAGAACCCATCGAGTTCCTCTGAGGGTCGATCCGGCATTTTTCCAGGATACTTCCAACCGTGAACTCTTCCTCGTAGATTCGCATTGCAAAGACACCAGAGAGCTCGCCGAGTAGTCGAGGGAATTGCTCCGTGGATATGAAGCCCGTCCCATCCGGGTCATACGTGGCCCACGCCTGCTTGAACCGGCGGATCTCTTCGCGACTGATCGCGTACAGTCCGCTACTCCGCTGGTAGACATAGGAGAAACTTTCGAAAATCAATGAAACAAATAGAGAGACGAAAATGTACATGCTAATCAGGTTCCATGCAATGAAGAGTGTTCGGGCCCACGGCGCACTTCCACAGTCATCGTCGAGGAAGTTGGAGTTATGGGTGCATAAGGGCGGAGTCATAGTCGCGAAGTCCTCCATAAATTGATTCCACCCTTCTCCGCAACTTGCTCGGAACAGCAGGATCAGTGATTTGGGCACATCGCGGAAATTCTGGTTGTGATCCTCATTTTCACCGAACTTGGTAAGGCCGAACGCCTGGTTCATCGCAATGCCAAACACCAAGAACAGAACGAACCAGGTAGCTAGAAGATTTCCAATCACAGACAAACTGGCTGCCGCTGTCTTGAAGAGCTGATCAAGCTGGTTGTTCCTTGGAATAAGCAACAAAGCAACAGACACGAGGAAAAGCTTGTTGAGCTTCACCACGACATGATTTTTACTGTATGAAAGGTCAAGGACGGAGGTGATGAAAGCGCCGGGGACGACTATGAGAGAGAACAAATCCCATGAGCTTCGGCTGAATCGATGCCACCCAAGGCCAATCAGTCGAATTAAGACATTCGCAACGTAGACACACATGAATGCCAAGAATATAATAGCTAGATTGACCGATCAGTAACACGCAACATTTCGAATCAAAGGCAAAAGACTTACCTCGAAGCAGTTCCCACCAGTGCGGCTCGCGGTAGTATTCCAGCACAAGTAATAGCAGGTGAACCACAAGGATGCAAGTCACGAACCACGCCCACCGACCATGCTTCTTAACTGAAATTTGATAACACCACAGCCGCAACTTCTGGTTCTGGTCCTCAAACGATCGTTTCGAGGGCGATATCTGTCGGAGAAGTTTCCGCAGTTCCAACCAGGAACGTTGCTCGGCTGTCAGGAAGGCAACACCAGTTTGTTCTGTGTAATTTCGCATGAACACAGACACAAATAGTGTCAGAACAAACACGGCTCCAAGTAAGTTGAACACCACGAAGAATAACCCGTTCTCTGGCGCCCATAGATCTTGCGGTTGGGTCATCTTTCCAGTGATACTCATTGCCCTTTCTTGTACGTCGGTCCAGCCTTCTTGGGAGACAATTTGGAATAGAATGAAAAGGGAGTTGCCGAAATTATCAAAGTCATAGAAAGAATTCCCAGCCACTCGTGGAGCAAGCACTTCCCAATTGTATGGCGAGCTGGCATATTCATTGACGCAGTTGGTCAGGTCCCCAGAGAAATTACCGTCATTACAACTGGCCATCTGCCCGTTGAACAGATTGACTCCGTAGATTGCGAATGGTATGAGGAAACTCATAGAAACCGCGGCAGCAGCAATGACCTTCCATCCCCCGACAATGATGACAGAGTGGAATGTGTCCTTGGCGCTGTCACTGACGTTCAAAAGACGCAATGCCCTCAGCGCTTTAAAGGCGCCAATGGCCCTGGAAACACTCCAGTCTTGTTTGAGGGAGCCGCCAACACTGATCCACAGCGTGATCAACACTATTCCGTCGATGAAGCCCCAGGAACTGCGGAAAAATGCGTTCGGTGTCCAGAAGAATCCATCAGCAATCACTTTGATCGTCGCTTCAATAGTAAACACAGCAGCAAAGCTCAAGTCAGTATAGACGAACCAGTTGCGGTCGCTGCGGAAATATTGTCGCTGATACAAGGGTGTTGTAATGCAGGCGAGAAGCACCATGGCGACAATGGCTGTATAAATGAAAGCAGAGAACGCAAACCACACTGGCTTGTATGGATCCACACCCTCAACTCGTTGATGGCCGCGCCCTGGGCCGACAATTCGTTGGCAGATCTTCCGAACGGGAGAATCCGGTGAGAAAAGGAACAGTGATTTGTTATAGTTAGGGTGTTTCACGAGATAGGCTCGCTGGTCCCGTTTTCTCTGTTCTGCTGCAGTAACAACTTCTCTTGCCATGGTTCTCGGATCCAACTCCTCATAAGCACGTGAAAACTTCAGCTTCGAGTAGAAAGGATTTGGTTCCCTCCGCATAACGAGCGTGGTGGCTTTCGTCCATAGAAGTGAGATCCAGCCTGGTTGAATGGCCTCTTGAGTCGCGCCTTCTGGCATTGTGCTCACTCGTCGTTTGTCCTTCGGTCTTTCCCGTTCTTGTTGCTTGTTCTCTTCTTCTTCGAGGAACTCTTGCACCACAGCGTCTTTCAGCAACATTTCCAACGCTGCAGGGCCATGGTCGAGTGGATCTTTGTACCGAGCTGAATCTCGGCCCATGCGAAGGATTTTCGAGAGTGCTAGGTTTCCTTGGGGTGCTCCATGGACTTGTTTCTGTTCTAAAAACGCCTTGACCTGATGCATTCGTTTTTCGTCTTCTGAAACATCGAAGCTTTCCTGAATGACAGCAATGAACATGTTCAGGATGATGAAGTTGGCCACAATGAACCAAAGAATAATGAATGCTGCCGAAATCCAGGCTGTGTTGAATTTGTTGGTATATGCGGTTGCATTGTAGAGAATCGTGGTCCAATTCTCACTCGAAAGAATTATATACATTCCAAGGAATGAGTTGTAGATATTCGAAAATGTGATCACGATCGACGTCTTAGTTGGATCTTGAGGTGGGATCTGGCCTCGAAAAAGCTGTGTTGCGAAAATAGCAGATAAAAAGGTCATCAAAAATAAGAAAAATATCAAGTTGAGCAGACCGACAGTATTGCGGAATACAACCACGATGAGCTTTCTGGTCACAGAGAAAGCCAGTACCACTCGGTAGACCCGAAGGATCTGAAACATGGTGAGAACCGTGTATGCACGGCCTGAGTTCCTGATAGGCGGTATCTGGATGATGCAGGTAACGATTGCAAGGAAAAGGTCTGTCAAGTTGCGACGCTTGTGATGGAACATGCGCCAATCCGAGGCGAATCGCAAGATAATCTCCACCAGGAGGATGAGAGTGACAACAGTCTCGGTAGTATCAATGATGCGGGCTCGATAGGCAGACATAGACGAGCTTCTGAGCGCTTGCACAATAAGGTCGAAAACGATGATGCAGACCCAAATCCACTCAGTTTGATCATATATACGCTTGAGAGGACTGACTTTGCGAGACATTGTCTCATCTTCGTCGACAGCATCAAGTTTTTGGACGGCAAAAGCGCTGCGCTTGCTCTCTTCTCGAATCACTTGGAATGAATGCGTGATAACCGCGACCAGCAAATTCACCAACCACAAGCTCAAAATGACAAACCCACAGGCAAAAAACAGAGCAGCTGGAAGGTAGTCAGTGTCGGTGGTGTAGTAGAGCAGGTCTGTAAATGTATTGGAGCTCATGATCACGAAGACCAACTCCAGGGACCCCACGATGTTGTCAAAGCTCATAGTGCCATTATAAGGATTGTCACCTTCTACGCATTTAGAGCCTAGAGGACAAATATATCCTTTGGGGCTGAACCCTGTCAAACCACCAGTGGAGTCGACCCACGCCATTTCTTTCCCCGTCTGGCTGTCGAGGTACCCGCCACAAAATTGCAATGTGCCCCAGCCATCATTCAATGTGTAATTGCTCTGGCCTGCGGGATCAATCCAGACACAGGTTCTCCCGAAACTGGATTTGAAACTCTGGACGCCAATGATAGCGAAAAGAAGCCAGAAGAAACCGATAAGAAATGCGACATGGACGAGCAGAGGAGCTGCTCGCTTAAGACTTCGAAGAATTACCTAGAGGTGATCGGTCAGTATGTCAAAGGTCACATTCTCGCAATAGATGACTTACCGAGGTGCCGTTGGTCATGGCAAGGAGACGCAAAATTCGGAGACAGCTCAGCATGCGAAAGATGTACAGTTGATGTGATTTCTCAACTCCCGAAATTGAAAGGAAAAAGGATATCCAAAAGGCGATCACAGCTACAAAATCAAGCCGGTTAAAAGAGTGTCGAAGGAACGCGCGATGCGCGAGCCTGATGCGACGTTTGTGTAGAGGATCATCGTAGACTTCGGGGTCTAATCCGTTTATCCCTGTAAATGTTCGCAGGATTGAAGCTTGGGGTTCGGCCTGGAGCATCGATGCTTTCTTGATCGTCCCCTGTCGATGCGGTGTAATCAGGTTCCTGCCCTTCTCCGCGATTGCTTTCCTGATGCCGAGGTTGCGATTAAGTGTGCTGTACTCGACAGGGTTGAGAATAAGTCCAGATACCAAAATCTTAGAGCCTATCTCAAGTGTGTAGATGATGAAAATGGCTAAGAAAACCCAATCAAACTTGCTGCTTCCCCATCTCGCTGACTTGGGGTGATCAGGGAGCGCATCTTCAACAGTCAACAAGATGGTCTGGATGACAATAACAATCAAGATGAAGGGCTCCATGAATGAATTCACCAGGATATCACACAGCCACAGTCGTAGAGGGTTATTCGGGCCCAGGATTCCAAGTGACCTGCCTTTAAATGGATTGTTCCGATCCCTCCATGATCTGCCGGATGATCGCTTTTCGCGAACTGCTTGAGTTTCTTGGTTGGAGACATGTCCATAGTCCACCATCGCTGGCAAGACCGGTGGTCCGTCCATTCGTGCATTTTTATCAAGCTCCTCCCTCTCAATCGATTGCTGTACGACTTCCGGTTCGTTACTCAAGTTAACCACTCGCTGGGACATGGATTTGACCATTGAGCTGGCGCGCTGCAGGGCCCCGGTGGACCCCGATGGAGACAAAGAGCGCGATCGATCCCGGATACTGCTCCCACGACGGCTTCCCATCCCATCCTCCAGGTGAGGAAGATCATCGCCCAGTCTTGAACCACCAAAACGCACAGAGTTAACAGCGCTGTCAGTACTATGTCGCTCTTCCGCCCTGGCAGCACCGCTCATTGGTTGTAAATATCGAGGATCGGTCAACCGTACCCTATCATCTTCGTCTTCGGGGGGGTTGTAGCCGTGCGGGTCGTGGGGATCATAAGGATCTAGGGGTATAACGTCAAGATCGGAAGCAGCATCGTCAAAGCCTCGGTTTGGGGATGGGTTCGAGTGTGATGCCCTTGATTGTGGCTCATTGAAACTGAGGCCAACCGATGATATCGCTTGCGCGAAACCACCCAAGTCATCAAGCGGTGAAGAAATCTCTGTATAGCTCGTTTGTGATGGTTGGAATGGGTTCCTGCTCGGTCCAGCCGAATCAATAGGCGACTCTTTCGCAACACTCTCATAATTTCTCCGCGAACCCCTCCCTATCAATGATTGTCGCGAAAAGAGACCGGTCCCCGCGCGGCTTCTTCCGCGTTCACTAAGCGCATCTCCCGGTTTTGAGAGATCTTGGAGAGGGATCTGGTTTGGCGGAGCGTTTTCGTCATTATCAAAGTTCTGGCTATCTGGCGCCATCGTCGGGCAGGATCAGATATTATGGAATCGCAGACATCGCAGGGCGAACGGAGTTTCTCGGAGACGGTGGCGACGCGTGTGGGAGAGAAACTATAGAAAAGAAACGAGTGTGATTACAAAACACAAATGAGAGACAGATTGAGACTGATTTTGGGCAAAGGACGTGATCGCAACTGCACTAAAAAGGACAAGTCCCGGCATGCGCCATACATTTCAACGTCGTGGCTGACATACCTCGGCGATCCATACACGTATTGTACACATATTACACAATTATTTACTTCTGTGCCTTGCTTAGTACATATATGTATGTTACTATTCCGTACATAGTATTTCATTAGAATTACAATTTTAAAACGCTGACGAAGCCCTTAAAATAGTGTTGCCTGGTGGGGTTTCCAGATGTCCCTTTTTCCAAAAATAGTTCGACTTGGAAAAAAGTCTTGGAAAGTCTTGAAAATATCCTCAAAATCTCGAAATAAATATTATTCAATCGGTATCCATCTGAGAATCATTTTCTTTAACATGTTGCCGAACGCCATCCAGGAACGCATCTACCGCATCGCCGCCACCAAGGGGTACTCCACCTCTCCGCATAAACCCTCCATTAGCCACGGGGATCTGCAAAGCCTCACTAATAGTCGGAAGTCCACCATCACGGATGGCTACAGTAAGACTGGCCAAGCTTTGCATGAATTGAGGAGAACGAAGCACTTTTCGTAGAATATCTTTTTTCTGGGAGAGGTCGAGGGACAGGAGAGCACCTTGGGCAAGTTCCGGGTCCGTGTCGGCTTCCGAAGCCTCCTCGGCATTGCCCTGGGCCAGTAAAAGTAGTGCGGGCGGCAAGAAGCTCAGGAGATGATCGGCAGTATTGGTATCAGCAGAATCGATAAATTGCAGCGTGGTTGAAGGTGGAAGGAGGTCTTGGAGTGTCGTAGATGGTCGTTCGGGATCTTGGGATTGGGATTGGCTCTGGCTCTGGCGGCCGCCCAGGGACTTCAAAAAGTCCTGGACAACCGACGCTGGATCTTCCTCGGTAGTTGCTCTACGAAGAAGAAGGGCAAATTAGCGTGGACGGCCTAATTGAAGGTTCTCAGAGATATGTACCTACGCTCGTCCACCGTCGGCACCACCCTCTCGCGACTCTTGTCCCTCCTCACGCACGTCGCCACCGGTCGCATCGGGGCCAGCACCGCCACTACCTGTGCTGTGGTATCGGCCGCGATCATGGTCGGTGCCTTCCACGTCCTCCATGGTCTCATCGTCATCACCGCCCGAGGGCCGACGAGGAAGGTTGGCGATCTCGTGCTCTACATCAACATCCTCGCCTTGCAGCAGGACATCGACAATTTCTCCAAGCTTCAAGTCACGAGGACTGAACCAGCTTGGGTCGCCGTCCTCATGCTGGGACTGAGACTGCATCCAGAACAGGTATCGCTGAGAGCTGGATGAGAACTTCAGGACAAAGATGCGGCCATTCGTAGCGTCCCTGCCGGACGGCTTGTAGGGAGTAAAGCTACCGTCTGAGGGAATCATCACGAGGTCAAGCTCGGGCTCATCTAGTGAGGCGCTACGCGAGCGCCAGCAGAAGTGGATAAGATCATCTTCGGAGTAAAGGTAGACATAGCCTGGGGTAGGCTTCGGCTTGACGGAGGCAGGAGTACTGGAGAGCTGAATTGAAACGGTCAGTAAAGTTCTAATGTAGATATGAGTACATCCGGAGGATAGAGTTGATCAACTATCCCAGTCAGGTCCGGAAAGCTAAGCTCACGTACATCCAGGTCGCAGATACCTGCTTTGAAGGTGATGATCGGAGCTATCGACATGATGGGAATTTGATTCTGAACAGATCCAACAATAGAATTCACTGTATTCACAGAATTGGCACCCTCCAGGTAGATAAAAAAAAGTGTCGTGGAGGATGTGAGAGATAGACTATAGAGAAAGAGAGAGAGGCTGCGAGCGGTATACGTCAGTTGTTTGTTTCGAGCAGTGCTTCTGCGTAAGTGGTTTTAAAGTCGCCCGTACATTATAGCCTTACAGATATGGCATCAATGTGCTGAGTCACCGCTTCCAAAATTGGCTAGGGCTGTCGGTTAAACACGTGATAGGGCTTCGTACACACAACCCTCGACGAATTCCCGCACTGGAGCCGACTCCGCTTAGCAGTCCAAGTCCTCACCCAAATCTCCAACAACCACCCCGACAACCATTCATCCTTCGCCAGCAGCCATCATGTCGGACGGCCAGACGAAGCAGTTCGGGAAGAGCCAGAGGGTCGTGCCCGCCGACAAGGCCCAGAAGTGGTACCCCGTGGACGATCAGTCGCAGCCCAAGAAAGTCAGTACACCCTATGAAAATGGGACGGCACAAATAAGAGGAGGACATACGACTGGCACACGATCTGCCCCGATGATTGCGACGATAGCACCGGTATTCTGAGGAAGAGCCTTTGTGAATTACGGGGCGACATCCATCCAGACACCGGTGTCAATCGACGACACAAAAAAAGTTCATCAAATCTTGTGATCTTGTGACCTTGTCCGAATCGCATATCATCCGGGGAAGATCAGGCTATGGCGATGGAGATACTTGGGGATTCACGGGAATCGCTGGAATTTGTCTGACATCAGAGACTAACTACTTTGTGTGTTTACAGGTTCGCAAGACCCTGCGTCCCGCCAAGGTCCGCGAGACCCTCGTTCCCGGCACCATCCTGATCCTCCTCGCTGGCCGTTTCCGTGGCAAGCGTGTCATCCTCCTCAAGTCCCTCGACCAGGGTGTCCTCCTTGTCACCGGTCCTTTCAAGATCAACGGTGTCCCTCTCCGTCGCGTGAACTCCCGCTACGTTATCGCCACCTCCAAGCGTGTCGACATCTCCGGTGTTGACGCCAAGTCCGTTGAGAAGATCTCCGCTCCCGGATACTTCACCAAGGACAAGAAGGCTGAGAAGAAGACCGAGGAGGCTTTCTTCAAGCAGGGCGAGAAGGCCGAGGTACGCATCTTGTCTAATATTTCACATTTGCAGTGATCAAACGCTAATTACTATTTTTTTCGTCTTTACAGAAGAAGGTTGTTGCCAGCGCTCGCGCCAGCGACCAGAAGGCCATCGACCAGGCTATCCTTGCTTCCATCAAGAAGGAGGATTTCCTCGGCAGCTACCTCGCTACCACCTTCAGCCTCCGAAACGGCGATAAGCCCCACGAGATGAAGTGGTAAATGTGCGGTAGCCGCGGGTTCGGTAGATAGTTGGGGAGGACCATTTTTCCAACGAGGGGCGGCTCGATTGCAGATCGGCATCCTTTCGCGACTTTCGGGGGGCCGGTTTCATGAACCATGTCATGTAATTCCTACGGGATCCGTCAAAACACTTTTCACTTTTCTTATGATTTGCGGTTAATTCGGACATCCGGATGTCGTTCACACATGTTTCAAGAAACCCGTTCCTTTTGCGCGTGGCCGATTTTGCATGAAGCTGCGTTATGAAGAAAGACTTCAAGCAAAAAAAAAGATTAAAAATCACCTCGTTCCAGCAGGCGGGCTGGATTCTCTTTTATGTTCAGTATGACCTCCCATTTCAAGGTTCAGGCGGCAATCCAAAATTGGGCAATTCCTTCGATTCATCTATGCGTCCCGAGGTCCTCTCATATCTGTAAGACACTAAAATATAAGGTTGCTGGGCCTTGTCTCTAAATCTATGTAGTGGGTATCCCCATTGTGTGGAACTGGAGTAAAGGTCTCAAGATCTAGGCTGAACTACAAAGTATATACATGTATAAAACCAATATCTTGTGGCACACCTCTGGTGCTCAATAGATATTACAATGGCTATCAGCTGTACTACTATGGAATTTGATGTAATATGAAGGTTGTGCGACAAATTTTTTAGGTCTAATATCCCATAACGAGTTTAGTGCCAGCCACCACTCCGGGTATTAAGATATATAGTGGTGGCACCAGCCATGTATGCCCTCGTAACCACTAATTGTATATGACTTGAATAATGTTCAATTATGGTTATATCAAACCTTCTGCGGAGTAATGTTGACATTAATAATGATAGCGATGCCGTAGTGCCCCAAAGTCCAACTTCGACGAATATATATTGTAGATCTAGCTAGATGTTATATATTGAACCCCCAACTCTCACCCCAAATAAAAACAAAAGGAAAAAAAAGACAAATCTACGTAGCTGCAGTTCCAATGATTCATGTACTCGTCATGTGGTCATCTCATCGTCGCTTGTTCTTTGTTGAAGGCCCGGCCTGAACCTTTCGCTTCGAAGCCTCATATGCTCTCCGCATATCCTGTTGTTCATCCGACTCATCACTTGAACTGCTATCGCTTCTCGAGTCCCTAAGAACAGTACCAAAAATCCAATCCATCATACCCCATGGGCCAAAATTCCCCCTTGCACCCATCAACAAATGCATATCTGTGCGACGGGCGATCCCACCCAAAAACAGGCTTGTCGGCATGACAGTATATCCAGAGTACGCGAAGGTCTCCTCGATAGAAATGAACAGTAGGTACAAAAGATATGTAAGCATATGGAAGCGGAAGATGATGGCCGGCGCATAAGTCGGGATGAACTTGGTAAGCAGGTAGGGGATCGGGTGGTCGTAATGCGCGGTCAATGGGAACGGAGCGGGCAACGAATGATACCAAGACCGGTGCCATCTGGCAAGCATAGGAGACCATCTTGAGTGTAGAGCATATCGGTGAAGGACATAGGTGAGGAACTACCAAAAGGAAAACCGGAATGTTAGCAAATTGGACTATCATGGAAAGCGCACCACAGCAATGTAGTCGGGGAATTTCAATAAACTTACTTCTCGCCCCAGCATTGCCATAGTCAAACCCTTACATATCTCAAATGGCATAGGAAGCTTCAGCGATACCTTGAGCGCACTGCGCTTGCCGAGCGTCCGGACAAGTACCGTCTCAAGTACCCCCTGCACAGCGATACCCAAGCATAGATTGAACAGCCCCCACGCGGCGATCTTGAGTTCCTTCGCGCGGATTCGACGTCGCTTCCTCCCACCTGGCAAGCCGGTAGCGCCTTGCGCCTTTATGAGAATCGCGGCCGACGGGGTCAGGATATCAAAGAGGAAGAAGATAATGGACGGTAATGCATAGAAGAGTAGGCGCACTGCGATCGTTCCGAACAGTTCCACGCGGAGTCGGGAATGCGACAGTACTAGCGTTGACCAAGTCAGGTAGAAGAAGAGGAGGTTCAAGCTGGTGCTGTAGGATGACATGATCGGAACCAGGAAGATGGACAGCATCGGTATTGAGAGGAGGGCCTCCATCTTGACAATTTGTGTGGTGATTGTTGTTAATGATGTTCAAAGACTCGAGGGTGAATTTTGTTGTATCTTGTGCTATCTCTATCGCCGAGTCTGTCGGGGGGAAGGAGGGGTTTGTCTCTGATTTCTCTAGCAATTTCTCTTTGAGCCGAGAATAGTAACCTGTAAACAGTTGCCATTCATATTTAGTACAAAGACTCTTTGAAAATTCGATCTGGCCAGAGCAATTGGAGACAAAGAGGTTTCGAGGTCGAAAATGGGGTGGCAGGATAAAAGATAAGCTTGGTTATCTACATCGTACGTCATCAACCCCGGATGTACATTGCGGAACTACAACTGCATCAATGAAAGGTTCGAATTGCTAAAAATAACTGACACGACATTATTTGTACTGTACAATAAGAATGTGTAACAAAGAGCGCACTGAAGAGTGTATAGGTGTTGGGCGGGGCAACCGAAGGTGCCGTACAGACAGAGCTCAGGGTATCATACATGAAGCGGTCGACAGACCATGTTAAGAAAATAATCATACACCCGATCGTTATGAAGCCGGAGTACTGGTATTGTTTGGAATACCGTTCTGCTTTCCCCAAGCGAATGCCTTGCTGCGAAGGTCTGGGATGACCTGGAGGAATACCAGGTTGCTGAGCCAACTGAGCATAGTGTCACCGACAATGCTATTTTTCGGGCTGGGCCCAAGGGCAGTGCCTTTCATGACGGCACCAATAAAATTGGTAGTGACCAGGTACTCTCCACGTTCCAGGGCACGGATAGAAATTTGAGCGACCTCCGCTGGTGTCTGGGGCTTATCGGCTTCTTCGAGTTTCTTGGTCAATTCAGGCTTGGTCTTTTGCTCGTTGTCATAGCCGGGTGTGAGGATCCCCATGGGGAAGATGGTGTGGATCTTGACATCTGCAGCCGGGGCGTCATTACGGTGCCGTTGAGTATAGGCTCCGTTGTACATTTCGATTTCCTGGCTCAGAGTATCGGATAGAGAACGAATGGCTGCCTTGGCAGGCGAGTACGGTGAATAACCAGCGATGGGAACGAATGCAAGGGTAGAGCAGGTAAAAATGAGATGTCTCCGGGGTGTTTTCATCTGTCCACTGGGAGCAACAGGTGTCAACCAGTTGCGCAGCGTGGCATGAGCTGTGTTGGCCGCAGTCCAATAGATCGTGTCCATTTGCTGTCGGTGATCTTGGATGGGCACATCGACGAAATATCCTGGACGGGAAAAGCCTGCGCAGCACCAAACAACATCGGGAGCAGCTCCAGAATTCCACGCTGTCACTTCTGCGATCATTCTTTCGCACTCGGCAGGATCAGTGAGATCGGCGCTGATATAATGGAACTTCTGCTTAAATATATTCGCAGCTTTGGTCTGGATGACATGTGAGTAATGTCGATCTGATCAAGGAGGGATGCCTGACCTTCATATCATCAACGGTAGTCTGCAGCTTGGAGACAGTGCGTGCAACCACGACAACGTGCGCGCCTTTTGCGGATAGCTCGAGTGCGACAGCTTTGCCCATGCCATCGGAGCCACCGGTTATCACCACAGTCTGTAAGACTCAGTCAGCACGGATCATATTGATGAGTAGTCTTGCACATACTTGCCCCTCCACATTGAACTCGTTTCGGGAGCCGAGCCCAAACATCTTAGCAATAGTGTAAATAATAACTGTGCAAAGGACTGCGGAAGCGCCCAGTACTGGGGTTGACGTATTGATATAAGAGGAGTGCAATGAGGATAGAAGTTGAGGGAGAGAGGAACGAGCAATTAACTCGCGAGGATCCATCGTGGATGAATGGCAGTTAGTTGCCTCTGTTGGTTGTCCTCGAAATGGAAGGCACAAGGGGCAGTAAACCAGTGACACAGAAATACCGAAGATCGGTCTGTCTTGGACTTTTCAAGGTGGGAGATTGTAATATTACCAGTATTTGGATTCCCATCTGTGCAAACAGAGCAAAATCCCCCACTCGAGGCTAGCGCAACCAAGGCGGTGAGAGGCCAAAAAATAATTTTATCACAGTTTATCGGCCGGACTGACTGGACTGAATTGGTTCACTGTCGTTTAATTTCTACACGCAACAATGGGCAGCAAAAAGAGAAAAGCCGGTCGCCCGGCGCAACCGAAAACTGCCCCCGAGCCCTCCAAGTTCGACATCGAAGAGCGATTCGACGACTCTGAAGATGACTTCCAAACCGGCCGTGACCAGATTCTACTTGAAGAAGGCCCAGAGGCAAAGAGACGGCGGAGAGTTGCCGAGGAAGGTATGTGCCTCTAATTATGACCTAACATGATGCAAACGGTGTCTTACTGTTCGCCACAGAGGAATTGATCCAGCCCTCCGACGAAGAAATCCTTGGCTATGAATCCGCAGACGAGGATGACGATCTCGAAGACTCAGAAGAAGAAGACGAATATGATGATATGGGCGAGCCAAAGAAGGGTGGCGCCGATTCAGAGGAAGAAGATGAAGGCATTGCCGCCTGGGGCACATCGAAGAAGGATCTTTACAATGCAGATCAGATCGAGACCGAGGTTGATGCATTGGAGGAAGAGCAGGAGGCCAAGCGACTACAAATGAAGCAGTTGCAGGCTATGAATGAGGCCGATTTCGGGTTCGATGAGTCTGAATGGGTGGAATCCGGCAAGAGTACCGAGGACAGCGCCGATGCTGGTGTGGTAACTGAAGTGCTTCCACAGTTGGAGATCACTGAAGATATGGATACCGATGAGAAGCTCAAGATTTTGAAGTCGAGATACCCCGAGTTTGAACCCCTGGCAAATGACTTTGTCGATCTTCAAAGCACCTTCAAGGATCTTCAACAAGCAGCCTCGAAGGCTTCCTCAACAGACGACGACGACGAAGAGCCACAGCCATCCCCAGTGCCCGTGGTGAAATTCCGTGCGTTGTCTGCATACCTTGGCACGATCAGCATGTACTTCATGCTCCTCTCCTCCCCTTCTCCCGATGCGACCAGCGAACATGTTCCGATGACCCCCGCCGAACTCCGACAACACCCTGTCATGGGATCGCTTGTCAAATTCAGGAAGCTTTGGAACACTGTCAAGGATCTCGAGGAGGAGGTTGATGAACCCACTGAGGAGCCTATTAAGGAGACTAAGACCGAGACCGCCGAGAAGCAACCAAAGATCAAAGAGGCCAAAAAGCCGAAACAGAAGAAGCTCAGCAAGGCCGAGATCGCTCAGGCAGAGGCCGAAGCTCTCCGCGACGAGCGTCTCCGCCAAACAGAAGCCGGCCTCGTCGATCTCGAGAATTTGGCCACCAAACCTTCACAGAAGCGCAAGACACAAAAGATCAAGGCACCTCTCAAGGATGATGACTCTGACTTCGGTGACGAGGATGCCCTCACAGCCCACGAGGCAGCGGAGAAGGCCAAGCAGAAGCGCTCACTCCGTTTCTACACCTCGCAACTGGCTCAGAAGTCCAACAAGCGCAACGCAGCAGGCCGTGATGCCGGTGGAGACGCCGATCTCCCATACCGCGAACGTCTGCGTGACCGTCAAGCCCGTCTCAACGTGGAGGCCGAGAAGCGCGGCCGCAAAGAACTCAATCCCGACCAGCAGCTGGGCGGTGACAGTGACGACGAGGATCACCGCGTCGCCAAGGAGCTCCGCCGCGGCGAGGGTGCCAAGGATGACAATGACGACGAATACTACGATATGGTGGCATCCCGCTCCAAGAAACGCAAGGACGATAAGCAGGCTCGTGCAGATGCCCACGCTGAGGCTGAGCGTCTTGGCGGAAAGGTCTACGAGCAAGAGGTGGTTGGTGCGGATGGCAAGCGTGCTATCACCTACCAGATCCAGAAGAATAAGGGTCTGCACGCGAAGCGCAGCAAGGACTCACGTAACCCGCGTGTCAAGAAGAGAAAGAAGTATGAGGAGAAGCAGAAGAAGCTTGGCAGTACTAAGCAGCTGTACAAGGGTGGTGAGGCTCGCGGCGGATACGGTGGTGAGCTTACGGGTATCAAAAAGAATTTGGTCAAGAGTGTCAAACTGTGAATGTGTGCTTGATCATAAACTTCACGGTCTTGTGTGTATGTTTTCATGGCGTTCACTGCGGGCAGTTTCAGGCATTCGATGTGTATATAACCCCGATTTCATCTTTTGGTCAGCCTCAAGTTTCAAAAACCGTTTTATTCATCTCAATCCATCTTCTTGTATGTTTAAAATAGTTGGATTATGCGGCCTTGTAAAGAGGTCAATTCTTTGTCAGGCCATGTATAACATTCGATGCGCTTGATGCAGCAGGGATTCTACTATAATGCCCACTTTAGACTCTTATCCCGATCTAGAAGCAAATGATCACCCGCAGACATCCATGTAAAAGATAGAACAATGTCGAGCAAAATATACCCTTTAACCTTTTGTCAGTTTGAATAGGAAACAAGGGTAATCCCTCTGCAAACTGAGGACGATGAGGACTCTTGATAGATCGTAATTTTTTACTTCTAGTGCTCGAACTACATAGCAAATTAGCAGAGGTCAAGTACACATATGTGTAAAGTGTAGATACCTTGATTTAGGAGAAATGGGCGAAGTCGGCGCATGATCCTGAGAACGCCGATTTGGCTTCGGCGTAATATTGCGAGATGCCCGTCTAGGTTTTTCTGAAAACCGGTCTGAGCCATTCCTGGTACTTGTGCTCGGGCATCTCGAAGTCGGACTCCTTGGCACGGGGGTTACGTATGAGAGGTCGGAGATTGGGATTGGAGCTGCGTCGGATCTTCGACGATTATATGAGGGTAGGGTTAACAGAATGGAGTTTTCTGGGATTTGAGTATGAGAAGGATAAAGAGCGGGTTCACTATGAGAGTCGCTAGATGGGGAGAGGGCGATTGAATAGGTGTCTGTGGGTGGAGGGCCATTGGGGGTTTGAATCGAGTTCGTCATAGCATTTGTCGTTGAAGTCAGTTTTGCATTATTCAGGGTATCTACGAGCTGCTTGTATGTGTCACCGTCGATACCCAGACTGGTTCGCATTTGCTGTGCCCTCTCTGTTCTGAACCTATGTTTCCTTGGGGCATCAGGTATGAAGTCAATCTCCCCCGAGAGCAGATCTTGAGTGGCGGATAATGTCTGTGATTTTAAAGTAGCCTCAATTGTATCTTGAGTAGCTGAATTAGTTTGATCTGGGTCGGGCTGCGAGTCGTCCTGCAGCATTGGTATCAGCCAAGCATAGTCCAAGGCATCTCTGGCAGTAGGGTGATCTGCCGGATTTGCAGCCATCATGCGCGCCAAAAGGACGTGGTTTCCGGGCTGACTGGAGAATGAGATGAGTCGAAAGGTAATATCGAATTCCCTCTGTAGTACTTGAGCAGATCACTTTTGCCAGAGAAAGGAAACTTCCCAGTGAGCAGGTAGTAAGTGATCACGCCCAGACCCCATATGTCAATTTCAGGGTAATAGTCTGGTCCCAATGTTGTGTTTTCTGAGGATGGACCCTATAACTGTTCATACACCTCTGGCGCACTAAAGGCCGGCATGCTATTGAACGTTTGTATACCCGTAAATCCTTCCATAACGCGCTTGATGATCCCAAAGTCGCCGATCTTTACCCACCAATCTGGGCCTGTATATAACACAAAAAAATTCTTGTCGAGATCAGAAAAAGTGGATTTAAAGTGAGCGCATAGCTGGAACACACCTGAGGATTCAGGTCACCGTGGGTGAACCCGTTGCTATGCATAAAATCAAGACTCTCGAGAAGCTGGAAGGTAATCTGCTGTGCTTCTCTTTCCCGAAATAGCTGCGTCATATACTTCTGCAGATCGCCAAGAGGGAAATACTCCATTGCGATAAACAGACACCCAGTGTCCTCAAACCAGCCCGATGATTTGACAAAGCAACCGTCATACTAAACATGAATGTAGGTCAGTGATTTTTGACAGGGGTATATTAGGAATCCAGGATATGAAATATGAATACCAATCATGTACATACCTTTTGCTGCGAGAAACAAGAGATGGCTTCTAGCTCACGATTATAATCCATAGACCCCGACCCCGACCCCGGGACCGTAGCAATGTGTATTTCTCCTATGATGCAAAGTAGATAGTGGCACTAGGGAACGCGATATATGAGATGCTTGACTTGGTGCGTATGCTCGCATTGGGGATGCATGAGATACTGTCAGAATTCAAGTCAGGAGCCTCTTTCGAAAATCTACACGTAACATTACGGTGGTAAAAGTCAGGGTAAATTCATTATTATGTTGGCCCCCGGTTGCTACAAATGCAGAGAGCAGTGACTTCATTCTCCTAATGGGATAGATCGACATCGGTTCGGGCAATTGATGACACAGGGCGTAAATGTATGTTGTACTCTGTAGAGATATTTGGGATATCGTTGGCCTCCATGCGGTTGGTCATAATCCTTTCACTCGAACAAGCCTTCGAAGACTGCCTTGACATGGTCTGGGCCACCTTGTGAGAAATCGACCTCCAGAAAACCTCTCGCTAGGGAGTTCTTGTAATAACGCTGTTAGTTACATTCCCTTTTCCTTTGAAAAAAAAAAAAAAAAAAAAAAAAGATCTCGTACCGCTTCTTCTAGGTCTTGCATCTCCCCTGGAGATAAAACTGCACAGGCCGCGACAATGTTCTCCCCCCGTGCTGAAAGAGACGCAATTTCGTTTGCGCGAGATATAATAGCTGAGTCGATGCCATTGATTGCCGCACAACTATACCGGAAGTCAATTAAGTTTTAACAAAAAGGAAGGTGGGTATGATAAGGAGCAAAACGTACATGGTACCGAAGCTCTTGTTACTTCGCCCCGGACGAAAGCTGTTCGAACTGTAAGCATAATTTACATGCCATTAATCCAGGAGTCAATATTCCTGCACATACTTATAAAGATACGTGATCTGGTCCTCGAATTCCTGACTTTCTTCGCTGACTTGAACTTCCATATGGCCAAGATGGAGTCGAGGCCGCAAAGCGAGGAAATTGTTCTCGAAAATCTCATGGAAATGAGTTGCTGCAATGACTTTAGCGGGATTCTTGAGGCTCAGCAAATAGTCGAGTATGCCACAGGCAAGTCCGATGCCATCTGAATGCGTTAATTAGTCTGCATCAAGATCTATAGCTGGATATAAACATACCGCTTTCGTTGGTTCCCTTCCCAAACTCGTCGATGATGACCAAGCTTCGATTTGTGACTTGTTTTAGGCAGAGAGAAATCTGCTGCAAATCGTTCATGAAGGTGCTTTGGATCTAAAGAGATGTTAAATCGCCAAGCTCAAGGCTGTATGCAGAACATTTTACATACCTTGGAGACACTCTCTTGGGTATTGATTTTGGTCAAGATTTTATCTGTGACTCCCAATTCTGCGCTGTCTGCAGGCACAAAGCTATAATAGTTAGCGTTTGTATGATCATCTTAATGGAAAGATACATACCTCCCAATCTGTGCTAGATATACAATCAGAGCGACCTGCTTGATGTAGACACTTTTCCCTGAGTAGTTCGGTCCAGTTAAGAGCAACACGCTGGGATTTTGATCCATGGAGGAAGCAGCACCATTGGTTTCGGACTCACTTCCACCTACAAGCAATGTGTCATTTGGCACATAGGACGAAACAGTCAATTCTTGAAGAATATGTCTGCCATTTGTTAGGGATGTCGATGGATGGCTGTTAACAAGCTCTTACCGGCCACCCTTGATTCTGATCACATTTTGTTCAACCATTCGTGGTCTGGTCAGCTTATAGAAGCTGGCTGCCTGTGTGAGAGCAAGAAGACTGTGGAGTTTGTATCAGCGGGCCTCTTATCATGTCCTACAATGACTAACCTATCAATATCTCCACAAATATCAGAAGCATCGACAAGCACATTCTCATATCGAAGAACCCTCTGCGCCAAGTCGTATACAATTTCGATTTCTTTCTCTGTCAAGGTACACTTTTAGTTCTCAATTTCCATGGCTGCTTCCGATTAATTACAAAACTTACCACAGATAATACCGTATATATCTCCCAACTTCTCATCCATCTCTCTCATGCGGAAATCTTTGAAGTACGCTCGATTCTCCGTGGTGAACATCAATTCCCAATCATCATCGGAGCCGGTATATGCCGCGGCACCATGATCATTGAGTGGAATGGCAATATTGAACCCAAGCTGAGGGAAGTAGATGACATTGACGTCAACTTCGAGAGTCGCCGGGATTGTTCCAGCAATGTCGAGGGCGATGTGCTTGAGAAGGCTGTTGAGGCCGTCGTATCTGTCTTTGATTTTGTCAAGCTCTCGATCAATACCCTGTTTAACCACTGTTCTTCCTTGTTCTTCGGAGTTATCAATGTCGACCTAAAAAGTCAGACACATTCCTAATTCCTATCAAACAATAACTTACAATCTCTTGAATCATCCGACCAACTCTGTATAGATGTGCTGCCTTGAAGACCCTAAGAGCCTGCAAGATGTCAGTACTCGACAGACTGGGATACCTATTGGGTGTTGACCTTGCTTCGGAGAGTCAGGATATGCGCGCCCGAGACCTCCCGCAGTGCATCATTGATGTCGATAGAGTAGAACGCAAACTGCTCCGTTAGCTCATTAGCATCGCAATGCAAGGACTATCACTCTAACATAGACAGATGATAGAAAATCAAGCATACAGCAAGAAGGCTGGCCCAAACCGTAGTTTTGAACCCAGTAATCTTCGCACTGCCAGTACTGATTCCCTTGCGAAGATTGATCATGACAGGCCTGAGGTTTTTAACGTGTTTCAATGCTTTGGTCATCTTTTCCAATGCAGCAAGATTGTCAGGGCGAGAAAAGACTCCTATAAAATCATGCCGTTCACAGATCGTATTTAGATCGACACTTGGACGGAAAAAAATCTGCTTGAGTCTTGCCCTACCCTGAGGGGTGTATGCAAAGTGCTGGAAGAGCCCATAGACCGAAAGACCCTCTTTGCCGGAACCTGACTTTTTCCCCGGGCCCTGGTTAAACATATTCGGGTGTGACTCCGACTGGATAATCTGGAGAGAGGTGAAAGTGTTGCTGTTGATCCACATCGCATCCCGGAGATTGAACATCTGCAGTGCCCGAATCCGATACTCGTTTCCATCTTCGAGGGGGCTAGGCGCCGCGGCTCTTCGTCGTTGCAGGTAGGAGAGTACTGCTCCTGCGCATCCAATAGTCACGGGGTTCTCCATGTCGACGGAGCTTGAGATGTGCAACAGTCTTCCTTCTTGGAGTGTGAAGCCCATCTCTTCTGGGTCCACTTCTTCCGGTCCGGCAAGGCCATTTTGAGGCACGAAAAACCGGATGCGCTGTTCGTGCGTAGATGAAATTTTTAACGCAAGTAGTTTGCTTTCTGCATTGGAGTAGCTGAACTCCGGCGTTGGACGAACATCTATCTGGTAGGGAAGGTAGGCAGAAGAAGCTGCACAGATATCATCAGCATTTGCCCGAACCGGAAAGAGTTAATGAGCCCCAGGGCAAACCAAATGTACCATCTTCTTGTGCGAGATGTTGATCTTGATTCTGCGAACTAAGATCGACACGAGGAGGTGTTAAAACCACTGTAGGTTTGATTTGAAGAAGCACTGGATGGCCCGATTAGCCCTTTCCATCTAGACCTAAACAAATAATAAACCCACAAGCTTCGATTGTCTCTATATCTCCGAAACGACTGTCACCGAGCAGATACATCTTTTCTTCTTCGGCTGAGTAGTATGAGCACCCCACAGTTCCATGGTCCTTCATGTCGATGGCAGTAATGACATGGTCATCGAGGTCATCATCAGTAGCCCTCACCGAGCGATCTGTTTCGATCTTGGTGTCTGTAGGAAACGGAGTGCGCAATTGACTTGCTGATGAAAAGACAGGAGTTTGAGGAGGACCACTTGAAATACTGAGGGCTTGGATTGATGGCGTCTTGTGGCCTAGTCGTCGCCCAGAGGTACGAGGTGTGATTGGGGGGCGGGAAGCTGGTGTTCTTTTTCTTTTTAAAGAAGACATCTTGCCGAGTTCAATGGAATTGTGATACCTAGAGATTTGATGAGAGAGGGAAATGATGGGGTTGGATGAAATTGATGGTGTGTGCCCATTGTATGGGCAGTGGGCCTAGTCACCTGTCCACGGGCCGTTATTCGAGCCTACATAAAACAAGCAATTTGATGATGAGTAGAACTAGATTATTGTACAATAAGTGAGTGGATTAGTATACAAAGTCATAAGATGTACAGAGGAGATCTGACATGCAAACCAAAAATTCCCAAAAGAGACACAAAACACCGTATATACCGCATAAAAACGCCAGATTTCATGTTTGATTTACTCTTGCGTGCTTACCACCAGACCAGACTTAGCTTCATCAAGAGAAACTTGGATAATTTGACCAGAGACAACTTCACCTCGAATGATCTTATCGGCCAAGCGGTTTCCAATCTCCTTGGCAATGAGACGGTTCAAAGGCCGGGCACCAAATCTCGGGTCGTAGCCTCTCTCGCACAGCCAGTCCTTTGTCTCATCGTCAACCCGCAGGGTCATACGGCGGTCATCGAGTCTGGCCTGAAGCTCTCGGAGTCTGATATCAACGATGTCCCGTAGAGCATCCTTTGACAGGCGCTTGAAGATGATGAATTCATCAATTCGGTTCATGAACTCGGGTGGGTATGCGCTCTGAACCACATCCATAACGGCCGTTTTGATCTTTTCTGGGACCTCGGCATTATCGGAGTCTATAATTGGGTACAGAGGGTCCGCTCCGACCAGGATACTAGCTCCAAGGTTCGAGGTCAACACAATCAGGGTGTTTCGGAAATCGACTTTGTGGCCTTGGGCGTCTGTCAGGAAGCCCTCATCGAGGACTTGTAGCAGTAGCGCTGAGATATCACGATGCGCCTTCTCGAATTCATCAAATAACAGAACAGCATAAGGCTTCCGTCTGACGGCCTCGGTGAGCTGGCCAGCATCATCATATCCGACATACCCGGCAGGGGAGCCGATGAGTCGACTGATTGTGTGCTTCTCCTGGAACTCACTC